TCTTTGGGCAAAGGGCTGACCAGCCTCGGCAAGGAATGCAAGTGAACCTTTAATTTCTGGAAGGCGGCCTCAGCATCCGGCCCCCATTCAAACCTTGCCTTTTTCTTAATTGCCTGGAAAAAGTATAGGCATTTGTCGCCTGATCGGCTTAGGAATCTTCCCAAGGCCGCCAGACAACCTGTTAACTTCTGAACCTCTCGGACGGTACGAGGCGACTGCATGTCAATGACCGCCTGTACCTTCTCAGGGTTCGCCTCTATTCCTCTCTGGTTGATAAGGAATCCGAGAAATTTCCCAGACTCAACTCCAAATACACATTTCTTGGGATTGAGCATGACATGGTGCCGCCTGAGTGTGGCGAAAGTTTCTCGGAGGTCCGTCAGATGATCTTTCTGAAGTTTAGTCTTGACAATCATATCATCAATATATGCCTCGACGTTTCTCCCAATCTGATCAAAGAACACTGTGTTTATCATTCGTTGGAAGGTAGCCGGGGCATTCTTAAGGCCAAACGGCATGACCGTGTAACAGTACAATCCCTGATCAGTGACGAAGGCCGTCTTCTCCTGATCTTTCTTCCATAAAGGAATTTGATGAAAACCAGAATAGGCGTCCATAAAACTCATCAAGGCATGGCCGGCTGTTGAGTCGACCAGGTTATCAATTTTAGGCAGAGGGTAACTGTCTTTTGGGCACGCCTTGTTCAAGTCTGTGTAGTCTACACACATTCGCCAGGTGCCATTCGGCTTTTTAACAAGCACCACATTTGCAACCCAATCTGGGAAGTAACATTGCCGAATGAACCCTGCTTCAAGTAATTTTTTGACTTCGGCGGCTGCCGCCTGACCTCTTTCTTCACCATGGTTCCGCTTCTTTTGCCGTACCGGCTTCTTTTTCGGATCCACAGCGAGTTTGTGTACTGCCAGATCAGGACTAATGCCTGGCATTTCATGGACTTCAAATGCAAAGATGTCCTTGTACTCTTTCAATAGGTTGTGAAAGTCGTCACCAAGGTTTCTCAGAGCAGTCGTCCCAACTTTGACTGTTCGGTCAGGACGGGAGTCGTCTAATATCAGGTCCGCATGCTCACCAGCCGGCTGAGGGCGGAACTCATCCGGCCGCTCCTCTGCCAATGATTGCTATTTTCTTGTTTTTCTTGCGGACTCTGTTTGGGACGCCTTTCTTTTTTTGTCGCCTGTTTCTTGAACAGGCACACTCTCCTTGACATTGTCAAGGTCTGTTTTTTCTCCACTTGACCCAGTGGCCATAACAGTGGGCTTGACATCCGAGAGATAGCACTCTCGGGCCATCCTCTGATCTCCCCTTAGGGAGCCGACTGTTCCATTATCCCTTTCAAACTTAAGCAGCATAAGTGACGGAATTATAACAGCCTTGGAATTATTCAGGGTTGGTCGACCCAGAATCATGTTATAGGCCGAGAGTTCCTCTACTACTAGGAACCGGACTACCATGTGTCGTCCTTCCCCTTTTTCACCCAGGCAAATGGGTAGATCTACTCGTCCCAGTGGGTGGACGACTCCTCCTCCAAAACCTATTAAAGGGTGGGAGGCCGGATGTATGCAGTCCGTCTGATATTTCAGTTTTGACAGACATTTGCTGCTGATGAGATCTGAGGAGCTCCCGGTATCTATGAGGATTCGGCCAACTCTCTGGTTGGCCACTTTACATTCAATAACGAGAGGGTCGTCATGCGGCCCCCTTATTCCTCCTAGATCCTCTTCAGTGATGACAATCTCAGGAAATGTATATTTGGACGGCCGTTCTTGGTGAACGGAATTTACATCTAACCGCCTTATATTATCTTTGTTGCCCCTAATAGTGGGGCCGCCTCCTGAGAAGCCGCCTGCAATGGTGTAGACGACTGCATCATCCGTATCGTAACTGTCGGCCTGTTGATTCTTTTTGGCCGACTACTTTTTTGAGGAAGTATTCCCCATAGATTTCTTGACATAAGTGTCAAGATCACCTTGATCAGCCAAGCGGTCTAGGTACCGCATGAGACTGATGCAGTCATTGGTGTGATGACCAACGTCATCATGGTAAGCACAGATTTTGTCCTGGTTCCGGTTGCTCGCAGAACCCTTCATGGGGAGCGGCTTCTCAATTGAGAGTCGTCCCTTTATTTCTTTTAGGATAAACTGGTTATCCTTGTTAAACACATACTTTGGGGAGTATGGTTTGAATTCTTTTTTCTTTTTCTGGGCCGGCTGTTTAGAGGAATCAGCCGCCCAGACCTCTTTTCTTTTTTCATCTTTGCTGGACGACTGTTTCTGTCGTCCCTCTCTTTTGTCGAACCTCTTCCCGTCCGACTGTTTCATCGTACACAGATCAGTCGCCTGTATATAGGCTTCTGCTTCAATCAAGGCCTCTTGGAGAGTCGCCACCCTTTTTCGAACTAAATCAAATTTGAAGGTAGACCCGTCTTTGAGACCTCTAAAAAAGTCAGTATAAGCTACCTCATCCGGTAACCCTTGAATCTGTATTCTCATCAGGTTGAACCGCCTGATGTAGGAACGAAGCCCCTCCTTCTCGCCCTGCTGAATTGTTCCCAAATCAAGGGTCGTTTTCTTCGCAGGGATGTTCATTGCGAAGTTGGAGGCAAATAAGTAAGCAAGCGTCCTGAAGCTGTTTACACAACCAGTCGGCAGGTTGCCGAACCATTGCTGTGCAATTCCCTTGAGAGTCGCTGGGAAACACTTGCACCAAGTGGGATCATCCAACCCTTGAAGGTACATCAGGTTGGTGAATGCCATCAGATGGTCTTCTGGGTTAGTAGTGCCGTCATAGGCGCCTACTAGAACATTTTTTACCTTGGCCGGCTGAGCGGCTTCAGTAATTTCCTTGGAGAAGGCTGACGGCTGTTCACCAAGTCTAAGCAGCCGTAGCTGCCAGTCCATAGGTTGGACGTTTTTTGCTGCAGGTCCACCAAATGGAGGTGGCTGCATAAAATACTGTTGTTGCGGCACAAATGGTAAGTTTGGTACCGCCTGGGCACTATGAAAGCCGGACTGACGGGAGGTGCCGCCTGACTGACTCTCATGGTACGACTGAGTATGCCTCATCGAGGCATTTCGCAAACTGTCCTGAAAATTTGAAGTAGAAGCCGACTCTGATAATCGGTCACTCTTCTTCTGCTCTAGCAGGAGCCGAGCATCTGTGAACGTTTGCTTTGACCCGTCCGCCTGAATATGACGAACCGGTTTCCTATTTCCCGTAGGATAGCGGAGTTTTGTAAAATCAAGAGCAGGTGGCTCCCGCTTCTTGGATTTAGGATGGGGAGTCGCCTCTCGCCCTTGAACTGGCTTCCTCTTCAGTGAAGTGGAAGGTTTCTTGGCCGTCTGCTCCTTGACTGAAGCAGGCGGTTTTTTGTTGATCAACTCTTGAATCTCTCCCTTGAAGTCCCTCATGAAGGTCATGAGTTCGTTCCTTGTGATGGGAGCAGACCCATCAGTCGGCTGTTGCCGAGCAAGCGATGCGCCTGCTGGCTCGCTTCCTGTTTTAAGATGCTCCCGTTCCCTCCTTTCGGTATGGCGGGTACGTCGGGCCCTTAGGGTCCCGTCTGGAGCTGTATGAGTTTCAACTTCAAATTCACTTTCGGTATCATGGTCCGACTGGACTTGAGGGTCGTCTAGGGGACGCCTCTCTTCTGGAGTCGGTACAGACTTGGATGCCATCTCTGAAGTACTCTCCCCACAGACGGCGCCAAATGTTTCGGGGTTTTCTGATGTCCTGCGGGAGAGTTACAATTCCGAGACTGGAACCGGACGCCTGTACCTGCAAAATAACGGAGACTCCTGAGAGCTCCGCCTCCAACGGTCAAGTTAGTACCTGATTAAGGAGTAATCAACACAGAAATTAAAGTAATGAAGTCTCTCTAGGTGAGAGTGCTTAGTGTTGGTAATCTGCGTCGTTAGCGAGATTAGCCGGTTGTTAATAACTCTGTTCTTCTCTGCTTGATCTCTTGATTATTCGATTCTGTGATTAATGAGGATTAATTAAGTATTTATAGCCTTGAGAAGCGTGCAACTCTCTAGGTTTAAGGTAAACCTAGGGCTGATCGGGCCTCTAGACTGGATTGGGCCTTGGTGGCCGGTTTTCCCATTTGGCATGGGTGGACACGTGGCGTGTCTATAGTGGTCCGTAGAGGACGTATCTGTGACTGACACGTGGCAGGCTCCTGTTGTCCTTCGTGAAGGACACGTGGCGGAACCTGGTTGGTCCACTTGTCGGACGGTGATTGGTGGATAAAAATCCCCTAATCAGGAGGTATTTTGTAATACCTCATTTAGCAACTTTCCTCAGGTACTGTTGTTTTTCTACCAGTCCTTGAACCTTGGGCCTATGGTTTCAAGAATCTTGAAATCCACCACCAAAGCCAAAGAGGACTAGTGAATCAAACACCAATATTATACATGATATACTTTATACACTGTATAACTTTTGCCATTATTAGGCATAGCATTACTTCAAGTCTTCAAGCAGTAGTAGTAGGGTCAATTCAAATACTGGTGAGGCCATACTTGAGGAGTTGAGGGTACGTCCATTTTGGGTGATGGTCATATTTTGGTAAGGCTGTAACACTAATTTCACTTTCTAATCAATTTCAAATTAAAAGGCCATAACTTAATGTGGTCTTGTGGATGGGAAACTTGTCAATTCAATTGCGTTGGAATTAGAATAGATCGAATCGAGTCCATTCCATTTCAAATCAAGTTTTGTTTTGGATTATTGAAAATTAAGTATAGGTTTGAAACTTGGAATTGAATTAAATATTTCATTTCAAGTAAGTTTTGGATAAAACTTGAGTTTGGATTGGATTAATTTTTAGTTAGCACAAGTGGCTATAAGCCTATAATTATAGAAGACATAAAGGATAAAAGGCTATATAATTTGGAAGACTTTTCAATGTTTAAATGTGCTATGCTGTTGATATGAAAAACAAATATAAATAAACAAAGAATGAAAAATAGAAACCAAGATTAAAACAACTTTTTAGACTTTTTATTAATTAGTAAATTAGATAAAGAGTACACACATAGAAGAACACCATAACAGTAAATTCAAAGATCAAGGACTATATTTTATAATTAACATTAATACTTGAAAATCACACACTTAAGCAGCAGAAATGTGAATAGACTTAACTTGAGGCTTCTTCTCCTCAGCTTTAGGCACACTGACAGTAAGAACACCATTCTCCATATTCGCTTTGATCTCATCCATCTTCGCATTCTCCGGCAGCCTAAACCTCCTTAAGAACTTTCCAGAACTCCGCTCGACACGGTGCCACTTGTCATTCTTTTCCTCCTGCTCTCTGTTTCTCTCACCGCTGATCTGGAGCACCTTCCCGTCTTCCACCTCAACCTTGACCTCCTCCTTCTTCAACCCGGGTAAATCCGCCTTGAATACATGGGCCTCCGGAGTCTCTTTCCAGTCAATTCGGGTGTTAACAAATGCAGCCGTGTCGCCACCGGTGGAAGAGAGTGATCGAGAGGTGGTGCTGTTGAAGGGAAAATCATGGAAAGGGTCGAATAAATCGAGAGAAAATGGGTCGAAGACATTGCTTCGCCGGTTTCGGAAAAAGCTTGGAATCAGCGACATTGTTTCTTTCAGTGATTGTTTTTTTTTTTTTTCTTTAAGTAATTTTGATTGATCGTTATTTCGATTGAAAAATTGTTGAAATATATATCTGATGAAGAGATTGGAAGACCTTTGGAGGTTATTTATAGGTGATAAATCGAAAGTTCTAGTTAGTTCTGAGAATGTTATAGAATTTGAATGGGAGTCATCAAAAACTGCCGGGAAAACAGAGTGAAGGAAGATTGGAGGGATTTCAAGCATTTTCTAGAATATTCTCTCTTAATTCTTAAATAATGGAGATTATATTTGGGCTTACGAATCACTCGTATTTTCCTTGGGCTATGGCCCATCAATACGATGCAGTGCAGACAATAGGCCATTCATTTCTTTATGTACTATAGCATCACTAAATTTTGATAGTAGTTGTGTAACAAATTAGTGTCGTATATACTTCTTTCGTTTCTATTTAGTCGACACGTTTGATTTAGGCACATATATTAAGAAGAGGAGATAGAATAAGAGAATGAAAAAGATTTGGGGTATCTTGTAAATGCAAGGTAAAAAGTTACCCCAAAAAAAAAAACGTGTCAACTAAAAAAAAACTTCCTAAAAAGGAATACGTGTCAACTAAAAAGAAACAGAGGTAGTATGTGTATATTCAAAATATCATTTTTTTTCTAATTTACTAGTATATAAATTGTTCGAGTAAAATAATGGTCAAATTTCTAAATGAAAAAATTTAAATTTAAACTAATGTATCTCTAAAAAACAGACGAGCATGGTTAGATTGACTCACAGAAAGATATGTAGTATAAAAATACCATTCTTTTTTAATATTCCCTCCACTTTTAAATACTTGCTCCACTTTTCTTTTCCGGCCGTTTTTAAATACTTGCTTCATTTCCTTTTTTGGAAAGCTTTTACAATATTTAAATCATTTCTCATAAATAATGGACCCAACATAATATTCTCTCTCCTTCTATTCTTCCACTACTTTTGCTTTTTACAATTTTTTATTCTCTCAACTACCCCACTACATTCATATTTTATTACTTTCTTCAATTTCTCCTAAAACTCCGCGCATGGAGAAATAAAGCAAGTATTTAAAAACGGAGGGAGTAGTAATGAAATTTTGTGAACTAACACATGTTATAGTAATTACTAATAACCATAGGATTTCTTTGCAAAATTAAATAAGAATCCATTATCATTCCTTCAAATTATAATTGCTTACCAAACATGTCGTATGAGTAATAATTTGGATAACATACGCATTCGTGTGAGGTAAAAAAGAACCACATCAATACTACAAAACAGGGTAAGGAAACGGTGTATTTTGCCTAAGGGAGTGTTTCAGATACTTTTTACACTCAGGAGAACTGTTCAAGACTGGCATTCTTCAAAGAGTCTAAACCTAAGAGAGCAGTTTAAGACATCAACGCATTCTTTTTGAGACTGGAAGGCTAAGAGAGTGGTCGGTCTCGTTCCCTTCTAATCTTCTAAAAAAAAAAGTTGGAGCAAATGACTAGTTGAGACTAACAAAAGCATATAACCCTCAAAGTTCAAACTACCCAAAGTTGAGATCATTTAAAATAAATTAAAGTTGAAATTAATTTTACCAAACTTTTCTAATAAATATTAATGTTCGGATTTTAAAAAATACTTCATATATGATTTTGAAACAGTCAAAAGTTCAAATTTTTGCTCACTTTTTATTTGTTCTACAAATAGTACAATTTTTGGATTTAATTAAATAATCATGGGTGAAATGGATAATTGTGAGTGACTGGTTTTTTTTTAGAAAAAAAAATTGTAAATGACGTCCAACCGTATAAAACTAGACCGTACCGTTTTGGTGCGAAAATAATCCAGTCTGGTCTCTGACTGACTGACTCACTGATCCTGTAAAAATTGTTAATCCAGTCCAGAACCCTTTCGGGTCTGGTCCGGTTTTGGACCGGCTGCCTGGCTCTCTCCCTAATATAGTTATAGAGCTAGAATATACCCTCTGCCCTTAATTTTTATCACACGTCTAATTGTTTTTTACTCCTATGATCAATGACCACATATGTACGCCAAATTCATCTACCCAAACCAACAAAAATCGCAATACTCTGAACCACAATTCTGCATTCATCACACAGCTAATATCCATTACCACCAATTCAAAATGATCTACAAACCCAAAGTCCATAATATTTCTTTTAAAAAAAACAATATTACAAATTAAGTATTCAAAATAATGAAAAAGATGTTCAAGCTTGTTTGTACTAGACCAACAAATCCCCGAACCTTGTCAGCGACTGCAGTTGAAAGGTGGGTGACTGGGTTGAGTTTCCACAATCTACATTACATTTAGAGAAAAATATTTAATACAAGATTTGAAAAATATAAATAACCAGAGTGCTTAACAAATAAGCAAAATTATAAGATTAATTCAGTAACCGATGATAGTTAAAATTTGCACGTGAGAAATTGTCCTGCTATAACCAAGCCCATCATTCGATTCATACCTCCCTAATGCCAAGCTCATCAACACTATCCCTCATTCCCTCCCCCCTGCCCCTGCCATTTCCATTTGTCTAATTGGTCTTATTCAAGCTTTCCTACTAGCCTTGGTTTATCCCATGCAGTGGCAAGATGAATTACTAATAGTTGTTCTGAATCAGTTAATATGAACTCAAGGGATTAACACCTTGGTAGAACATGATATGCGTTAATAAATCCTACGGAGTACTTAACTTTTTACTTCTAAAAAAACAAACACTAGCCTTAGTTTAGGGCACCCTAATGTCAGCAAAAGACAAACGGTCACCCTTAATGGAAAATTTGAGAATCGCTCCCGATCATTTAGATACACGTCATCAAAGAAACAATATTCAACATAATCAACAACAAGTCAACAACAACAAAATCTTGGTCCTAAAACAATATGGTTTAAGGTTTGAGGAAACTTTACAAAATTAGAGTAAATAAGATACGCTTATGGAAGAAAAGTTTGCAAAACATAGTTGAAAGGAAAAGGAATTAGAAGGAAACAAAATGCAAAGTTTACAAATAACAATGTAAAAATTTGTTATGGACGACGAATATTAGAATGTGTACCTCGTGAAAAGTCTGGTCACCAATGAAGGGCTAAGATACTAGCTTTTTTTTCTTCTCGTTCTTAAAGTTCGGCCTTTTTTTGCAACTGTCTGGGACTCAGGGACACAGCTTTTCTCAAGCTCAACATGGAGGCGGGCCTGAGGCTCAGAAGAAACCAGTGGGTCACAATGGAGGGCCTGAGGCTCAGAAGAAACCAAGGGATCAGGCACATTTTGCCCATTACCAGAGAATGGGCCACCATTCCCAAATGAGCCACCACTTCCAAATGGGCCACCATTCCCAAATGGGCCACCATTCCCAAATGGGCCACCATTCCCAAAAGGGCCACCACTTCCAAATGGGCCACCATTCCCAAATGGGAAACCATTCCCGAATGGGCCACCACTCCCGAATGGGCTACCATTCCCAAATGGGTTAAGCTGACCAAAGCCACCCCATGGACCACTTGATCCACTAAATTGCCCGCCCAAACCACCAAATTGGCCAGATTGGCTATTGTTACCATTAGATTGGCCAAAGCCAAACCCGGATCCACCAGCCATGAGCTGTCTCATTTGCTCTGGGTTGGGCTGCATGATAGCCGGTTGGTTACATGCCATGAAATAAGCCATCATAAAATTTTGCATGTTTGCCATTCTTGTCACTTGAGATTGCAATGCTTGAATTTGATCCAGCATTTGACCAACTTTTGGTCTCCCAGCAAACCCAAAATACTCCTTATTCGAGATGCCTGATCCAACACCCCTAACACAACCACCATGCTCAGGCTTCTTCAATACTTTTGCTAGAATATCATCTCGGCCCGTAGCAGACAAATCACCTTTTTTAGCTTGGGCATCTAGGGTTTTCTAACATTAAATAATGAATAACCAAATCAAGTTAGCAAATGGTCAATGTTTTTGAGAATTTGCAAGTTGCAGGATCTTACAATTGCTTCAGCGATTTCCATATCACCGGGTGCATAGGTTTGATCTGCTTTATTTTCATGAGCTTTAAGCCAAGTCAAATGTCGAGGCACCTTATCAATGTGGATCCCCTGCGCTTCGAATTCTTTTGCCTAACATTACACAAGTTAATCAGGTGACAGCTAAAATCCAAATAGTTCCAATCAAACAAATCAATCAAACTTACAATCTCTTGTTCAAAATGCTGGTACCCTTTTCGCCCCCCTCGGTACCTTGATGTCTTCATATTTGCCTTTTCTCGGTTCCTTTCACTCAATTCCTTTTCATGTGATTTAATTCAACTTTAATACACATATGAAACAATATATTTAAGACAAATATTATACAGAATATATGGAATAATACCTTAAACTTATCACTAGTACAATATGCAGTGAACTTTTCCCAATCATTTTGAGATATAAAGGAATATTTTAATGGCACCTTCTTTCTTATCATTCCAGACCTTTTGTACAGGTAATTCTTCACCAATCTAGCTTTAAAAGCTCTCCATCGCTCAGCAGCTCGCCTTAAAATCCATTTTCTTCGATCAGGCAAAACAATGAATCCTTTCTGCGAGACACATATGCATTACCGATTTACTGGTGCGTACAAAAAATAAAAAATATCTAAGGTAAAACCATATGCTCACCGTAATGTCATCATACACTTCATTCAGGACTTCTGCTGGAACATGGGACCACTCCTCATAGGTGATGCTAACTCGCTCACGTACAATTACACCAATTAATGTGGCAAAAATGGGTCGGTGATCCCCACAAGGAATTTTTGCTGCATTCCAATCCAAGCGAATTTTCTCCCCTTTCTGAATGACCTTCCTTACCGTTGCAAGTACAGTACGACCCCTTGTATTCTCATGATCAGAGTCTGAGTCAGAAGCTGAGTCTGAGTTTGACGCTATTTCAACTTGTCCTGACGTTACTTCAGCAATTACTTGAGCAATTTGTTCTGACGTCATTTCAACACCTTGTCTTGATGTTACTTCAGCAACTTGTCCTGATGCTACTACAGCAGCTTGTCCTGATGCTACTACAGCAGCTTGTCCTGATGCTGCTTCAGCAGCTTGTCCTGAAGCTACTTCAGCAAGTCTTCTCTTTTTTAATTTTGCCATTAACCTAAGATTGAAATTTTAGAAGAAATCAAAACCAAAATCAAAACTACAAGCAAACAAAAGGATGTGAACTTAAAAGCAACAGTAGTAGCACGAAGGAATGGTAACAGCAATCCTCAGAAATCAGAAGATAATAACAAAGCTCCTCTGTATTCAATGACACCTAATCAAAGCGAATTGATCCCAGCAAAAACAAGGGGGTGCAGGGTTGAAATTTTTGGAGTGAATTAAAACAAAGCCACAGCCGGTCAGCCGGTCAAATTATCATCATCACTTTGACACAGGATCATTAATGCATAATTGAAGTTTCACAATAACTTTTTTTAGTCCCATAAATGATAAAATGTATTTGAAGATAATAATGTCGAAAGAAGACACGTAATCAATCATTGCATCATAGAAAGAATCGACAAGAACAGTAGAAAACAAAGCTCAGCCATTAAAACAATAGGATTAAAAAGAATTATAAGAGCATTAAACACCCAAATAAAGGCAGTGATATAAGCAACCCTGCAACTGTATCAACCTTCAGTTTTAAAAGGGATGAGGCATACCAAGGCGCAAGAAGAAAGGGTATTGAGCGCCTTTTGTAGGTGAAGCACACTTTATTTATGTAAGAGAAAAAAAAAAAAAAAAAAAAAAAAAAAAAAAAAAAAAAAAACAATGAAATAAGTCTAGAAAAAAAAAATTATGAAGAAAAGATGGAAGGGTCATGTGATCAATAGCTAGGGTTCTTCTAATGGAATTGGGGGATACAGGAATCTTTCTCCTCTAGTATAAAATTTTATCTGACCGTTGCGAAATTAGATGATGATTTTGTTAATAAAATTTTAATACACATTAGCTATTGACACCATACAACATAAGGTGCAAAGGCGCAAAAGGCAGTCTAGGGGGAAAAAAAGCACATAGGCATGCACCTTTTGTGGGTCTTAGCGCTTGGCAGAGCTAGGGCGCCAGCTGTTGCACCCGACTCTGCCCTGTGCCAGGCACGCCTTTTGAAACCTCATTCTTTTAAAAGAGTAAAGAAAAGGTCAACTTTTGATGAAATATCATCTAAGTTTACTGAAGCCCTAAATGGCATAAACAATACACCAGCCCTACATTGGCATACCTGATATGCCAAAGCCACAATCATATGCATACTTTTACACTTTGCAACCTCTTTCTACACTAATTCATTATTATTCTGTTCTGGTGGCTAAACCAAACAAAGAGTACTAATTACATCTAATGAACCTGCAATAGACTAACCAGGGCAATAATGTTATTATAGTATTTTTAGGTTAGTAGTCTATATTTTTAGTATAAACAAAGAGAGGAGGGAATGGATATAGTCGGCAGAAATTTGTATTGAAGGGAAACCTTATAGAATTATTAACTCAAGCCATTGTTAGAGATTGATAGCCTAAAGCTATTGAGAGTGATAGCCTCAAGCTATTAGCCTATCTTATAAACCTTTTGCCATTTTCAATCAATATTCATGCTTTAATCTTTATTTACTTACATAGTCAAATCTGAAATACAAAGCCAGAAAATCATGCCAGAACCCTAATAGATCAAATGAGAAAAAGAGATAATATAAAAGGGCAGTTCATGACTACAAAAAAAATGGCAGAAATAGAAAGTCACACAAAATTCATCTTTATATTCATCTTTATATGTTCAGATAATATGCTAAAAATGGCAGAAATAGAAAGTCACATTACTTTACAGCAAATTGAATTTGCAGCATTCGAAATTACAATACCCGGTTCGCATCTAAGCAGTCTAATCAAGGTTATAACACCACTTTTGACAAATTTGAGAACTTCCTAAAATTTTAGCAAGTCAATCATCATCATACGTAATTAACCAAAAAAATACTCCAATTAAGTAGTGAAAAGAAAGAAATGAGACATTATTAAAGCTTAGATCACTAAAATAAAGCATTTTAAAACGCAGACAAAAAAACCTAAGAAAATACCCAAATTTGCAGCAAACCCACATAAAATCCAAACAAATTACAAAATAAACAAAATTGAGAAGAATTAAAGTAAGGACCTGTAGAAGAATTAAGCGGAAGCCTTCAATGGCGGCAGATGAGACGAATCACTAACAATTAGAGCTGAAATTCAAGGAAATGGAAGAGCAAAAGAATTAGGGTTACAATTGAATTAGTAGTATTTAAAAATGAAGAAGAAAAGGAGAGTAAGGATGAAATTCAGTGTTACCGGAGCAAGATTGTAGTACGGCGATAGCAACGGCAGTCTGTGGTGGCTGGATTTGTAAGAGAGAGTGAAATCAGGGGCAAAGTCATGTACTACGGACTCCGGAGTAGTTTGTTTTTCGATTATTGTTTTTTGGGGATTGTATTTCAATTTTGAGAGGGTGTAAATTTTTTCGTGGTCTTTTTTTTCTTTTTTCTTTTTTCTTTTTTTGTAATCACACAATCGTTTTAGAAAGATTTTTCTTTTTTCCAACTTTGTACAATCATCAACAATTACTGTTGAGTTTTGACCATTAATATTGAGATTGCCCAGATTACTCATTTTGAATAACAATTAGTGAATGGTCCGAACGTTGTCCTCGATTTGCTATTTTTGAAATTGTACAACTGCTAATCTTTTAAAAGGCTTTTAATAATGGAGTATGTGTTTTCAGTACTTTTGTATTATAGTTATAGTATTAGTTTATTTGCGTGCAAGATTGGGGCATAAGTGGCAATTAGCTTAGATGGTTAAACAAAAATCTTTCTTCTAAGAAATTGAGCGTTTAAACTTTCGTTGTCCATTTCTTTTCTTTTAATTTAGTTGAAACACCATGGAGAATTGTTGGTTGCGTTGGGTGATGTGCATGTTGAAGAATTAAGTGGGTAACGTGGCAGATTGAAAAATTGAGTACGTGACCAACTCCATTTTTCTCCTCTTTCTTCCTTCTCTTTACACCATTTTCAATTATAACTCTCAGTATACTATTAAAGCAACTCCAGCTTTCTTCTCTCATGCACCACCATTTTCATCGTTGTCTTTCTGGCGGCGAAAACTAAAACTCTAAGAAAAATGAGGAAAAAATAGCATGGTTAATCCCGACAGGTATAACTTTTGTCCTCTTAGTTGAAGCTTCTTCATTTCTCCATTTAAGACTTTGAAGATCTTTTGATTTTTCTAATTATCCAAAACACCACCATCCACTTCATATAAATTGTAAACTACTTCATAAAATAAGGCCATGTTTGGTAATTGGCTTTTTAATGGATTTTTTGTTAGTTTTTGGTTTTTTTAGGTGGTCAAACAGCCAAAAAATGTGTTTGGTAATTGGCTTTTTAGTTAGCGAAAAAGCCGGCTTTTAAGCCAAAATAAAAAAGCTGCTTTGAGTAGCTTTTTTGTTGGCTTTTGGCTTGTTGACCCACAAATTATTTAATAAACAGCCAACAACCAACAATTAATTTACCAAACACTTTTATAAACAGCCAACTTAAACAGCCAATTTTAAAAGTCATTATAAACAGCTAAACATTCCAGCTAGTCAAACAAGCCAAGTGAACCAGCCAACAACCATTTGCCAAACAAGGCCTAAATGTCAAATTGGTAGTCAATTTACAAGTGTTTAACCTCTTCACCTTATATTTAAGAAAATATTAAAGCCAAAATGAAGGAAACAAAGTCAAACAAGCTAGGGGTGACAATTCGGGTCAGATGGTCAGATTCGGGTTGTGCTTAAAAACTATCAAAAATAGTTTAAAACTTAATATTATAACGATGTATGACATTTTGGTCAAATCGGGTCGAATTTGGGTATTCGGGTTGTTCGGGTCGGGTTTCTCTCGGTAACTTTCGGTCGGGTCAGGGATTGTCAGCCCTAAAACAAGCTAATATGTATGTTTAAAAAAAAAACTATTTAAAAATAAATAAAAATTTTAAAAAATAATAATAATAATAATAGTAAAAAAACGGAGTATCAAAAAAAAAAAAAAAAAAAAAGAAATTTTGGTTGATGAATTTCTTTCAGAAATTATTAATAGTAGGGATCAGATGGTATAAAATTGGGGTGCCCATATTGTCGTAAATAAGGCTTGGGGCGAACACCCAAGTCGCAATAAAATATGCGATAATGACCACTCATCATATCCCATTAACTGCCTGAAGGATCATACCTTAATTAACAACAAATTTCTGATTATAAACCTCCTCTCCAGCTAATACCTTCTATCTTTACCCAATGTGGGACTTTTTGGTTTTTGCTCTACTTGTGCTATCTGCCTATCTCCGTCGCTTATGCATCATCTTCCTCCTTATACTCCACACTGAAGCAGCCGGTGTCGTCGTAAAGTAGGCCTTTAAACATCACTGCTCAATGTTTACTCTAAAACACCAGGCTATCTAGTGATTGAGAAACGTATGTTGCATATAGGTGACCACATCAGCTGGCATGTGATGCTTGGACTTAGAATCAATTCCTCTTGTTGGGCAAAGGCAGGCCTTGCTTTCTTTCACAATAGTAAGGACAAATACTTCCATTGGTGACAAGAAGAAAGACACCAACTTCTACTTTTAGGTGCTTCAAATGCAGTGACGGAGATGGTTTCCGTATAAGGTTTGCAACAAGGGTTGAACAATGGTAGCCATTTGGTCATGGCCATTGAAATAATAAGGGGCTCGTGTGTACGGAGAAAAGCTTAATTAACTCTTTGCTACTAAAATTACGAATATCGGAGCTTTATTATCAGTAACGAGGGGGAAGGGGGTGACCAGGTGAGTGAAGAGCCCTACAAGTTCCCAATATAACTACAATTTCTGGGCGGATTGAATTACCAGTCTACCAACATTTGTTGCTAAAGCACGACACGTACAAGAATCTATAATCAGGGTTAACGTCGCTTAATGGAAAGTGTAACAAGACTCGGTAAACTCAATCCATTCCTCGTTGGATGAATAGCGCACAATCCATCTCTTGGTGATCAGATAAGTCATTTCAAGTCTACAAAGTAGTACTCCGTAGATAATTCATCAAATTACCTGTAATTGACCAACAACATACATGGGCAATTCAGCAAATTCTAAAACCACTATAGAGGAAGCACACGACCATAAACCAACATCAAGTCATATCGATCACTTCCTCGCAAAATCTCAAATCGAATTCTCTAAAGAAAGCACCCATAAAAGGCCAAGAAAATATTCATGCCTATTTGATTCAGTCCCAAACTAGTTAAGTCCTTCTGTATAGTCTCTTTGGAAGGAGAATCACAATTACACATAAATTGCTCAGGAACACCATCACAGATGCTTCACCGGAAACAACAGTCTGACATCAACATAGTTAAATTACAGTTGTTCATTTCTCAAACATACGAGTATAATAGAGAAAATTGATCAGCAGACATCTGAATAGAGCAAGAAGACAAGAGAATACTGCCTAAACAAAATTATATGTACAGCAGATAATCAAGGGGAAGACAAGTCACATTTTTCATTTATTTTTACTCAATTTTTCCAGGACCAACCTTTAATTTATACTATTATTAAACTAGAATAAGATTAAAAAAAAACTAGAGTATTCCGATCAATCTCAGATCAACCTTCACATTCCAAGAAGAGCAGTCAGTAAACCAGCCCATACTGCAAAAGAAAGCCAAATTTCAGGGCTTGCTAAACGACTTAATTCTACTTATGGTTAAACAAAATGCGATAAAACCCTCTCTCCTACCTGCATCTGGTATCATAACAAGAGCCCGAAGGACTTCAGATGTCACTCTGCAAACCCTTTTGAGAAAGGTAGCTTCACTGTTCAAAGGTAAACGGAAAAGCATCAATCACTCCACTACATTTCATTCAGTTGTCTAATCATGCAATCTTTATAGGTTTCTACAGAGTATAAGTTTTCCTGTTCATTTAACATGAATGGAAAAATGACCTAAAGCACTTTAATTGTTAGTTGAGAGTCCCAGAAAAAGCAATATTCACTTGACAAGAAGCCGTGCAGCAACACGCACCACGAAAGGTACCTGGGAGATCTGCCAACATAATAGGATGAGCCTTGCCCAGAAAAAAGAGTATTCTTCCCTACCACCAAAAAAAAGTGCTCCAAAAATATCAGCACTACTAAGATAAAATAATCAAATATCCAATTACAGACTAAAACAACAAATTATGGTACTGAGGTCAGCTATACTCGAAGAAAAGTTAGTATCAGAATCATGACATGACTACTTGTGAGCAGAACTGATGAGCTGCAAAGGCAAATAGAATCAGATTAGTAACAACGATAAAGAAGTTGCACGGCTGAACTTAAGATACATGGGCACAAAAAATTCAAGATATCATCTCAAAAGAAATATTCATGGCCGAACAGGATTATATAGAAAAATTCTTAGGAAGTAGTACTCCAACAAGGGTCTTTCGTTGGGTTCTCTAGGTAATTTGTTCATCTCTTCCTGCCACCACGCTCCCTCAAAGAAAGAGTCAAGGTCTCTCCATCTCCAATATTGTAATAAGCAAGTTTGAGATTATCCTTGAGAAAACCAGCCTTCCCACTCAATTTCTGTTTGTTTGCTGGAAGTTGAATTTCCCCAGATACTTTTTCTTTCAGACTGCCAACGGTTTCATTCAAGGACATGACGATTTCCAAAACTTGTCCCTTGAGGTTCCCTTCATCAACATTGGGAACAGATATGTTGATCCTGACAGGTCCCTGTAGAGAAAAAAATTCAAAAGCAACAATTAGCTCCATCTCATGTAGTTCAGGTGGGGTTAAGGATTTAGCTCAGACTATGCTCTGCTTCTTAATTAATGAAGGTGGAAGCTTGATTATGTCTGCCCAGAACAAAGACACCCTGCAATTAATTGGGTCTAGATTGCATACATCTAAAGGTGATGATGGAAAGAAAAAAGGTACATCAAAATGAGGTTATGACCAGTTATCAGGTTTACATTGTTTTAAAATTGCAACACTTGTAATTTTGAAATTAAAATAGCCCACTTTGACAAGATTACTCAAATATACAAAACCAAATGTCAAGTGTAAAATGCCACTGGATTTGTTTCAATGCATGATTTCAAATATCAACATTTTAAATTTTTTACTAATTAAAGTAAAGATATTAATGGTTCAATTGTGAGTTATCAAAAGCATGAAAGTGTAAGTGTTGCCATTATAAAGAATGAAGTATATAATAATCAATACCTAACCCAGAACAAAAAGAACAAAGCACAGTATACACACATCTACACTTGTAGCGACCCAGACACTGGCAGCCTACTCACTGCCTATATCCTATAGTGGACATACCAGCAATGACACAGATTCACTGCCATAATGCTTGAGGCTAAAATTATTCCCTCTTTTAAAGTTCTTATTATGTGCCAGAATACTATAGTTGGCAGAAGCCTAGAATACGCCACAACTGAATACCCAGCAATACACAAATCCATCCAAATCATAAAGCAGCTCAATGAGTTATTATCACACTGGGCTTAAGAGTTTCACAATATCACACTGGAATATTATTTGTAATTCTTGATGTCACCATGTATCACCTACGTATTAAACAAAGATGTAGGAAAATTACCTATAAAACACACACACACACACACACACACACACACACACACACAAAGAGTAAAAAAAAAAGGGAACAATTTAGCAACCCTTCCCTTGATCATGACAAGAAAAGGTTTTGGAATGTGGAGGAAACCGAAATTAATGATTTTTAATAAAAGAGCACTTTTATTTTACTTAGATTAGAAGAACAACACTTAGCTACGACTTCAATATCTCTATATATATATGCTATTAAAGTTGATGTAGAATATAATTTCATGTAGCTAGTATATAACAATAATGCTTATAAATCTTGTTCACACAGCTTAAATATTTAGCTGTACTTTAAAACAAGACATCACAGGTCAGTATTACCAACTAAAGAAATTTGATATAAAACATGCCATAGAGCCTCACTAAAATAAGAGAAGCAGCTCCAAAGAAAGCATAATACTATGACAGAAAGAGCTTTAGACAGTAATAAATTTGCAGATTTTGTCACAAAGCATTTGACAGACAAACAGGCAAATTTCAAGCAAAGACAGAATTTGGACAGGGAAAAAGAAAGCGTACTGGATGTTGAGCAAGGAACTGCTCTTCTGGAATCAATGCAGAGTCATCCAACTTCTGTCTCTTGGGCTCTGGTTCCTCAGGAAGTGGAGGAGGAGCTTCCTCAGGTGGTGGGGGTGGAGGCAGCATTCCTTGAGGCATTGGTGGAGCAGGCATACCATGTTGTGGAACAGGTGTAAAGGGCCGGTGAACACCAAGCAGTGTAAATTGAGATCCAGGTGCAGGAGGCACTGGCATACCAGGTTGGTTCATGGACCCAGCTGGAGGCATTGGTGGGCGATTCATCATCATATGCTGCTGTCCAGGAGGCATTTGCATAGGAGGTGGCGGAGGAGGACCCATTTGGCTTAAAGTGTACATAGGACGAGGTGGGGGTGGTGCCATAAGCCCACCAGAGGTTGGAGTAGAATACTGAATATTGCTGGTTGGTACACGAGGCATGTTCACAGATAGATTAGCTGGGGGAGGAAGTGGACGAAGCATAGGAACACCGGGTCTCGGTGGAGGAGGAGCAGCTGGACCAGGGAGAGACCTCCCATCATTGTAACTGGTCTCACTTTGATCCTCACCACCCATACTCTGCGACATAGCCTGATTTGCAGTGCGACCAATGCTCCCTGTATGACCATCCCATATGACTTGCTTAGGCTGCTCATCCTTTTTCTTCTCTATCTCCGCTTTGACAGCATTAGATACTTCTTCTTCTGTAGTACCAAATATATCTGGACGAGTACGAGCAAGTCCCACAATGTTTCTGGAAATTTCATCATCATGAGCAAGGGTTGTCTCTCGAATCTTGGCAAACATCCTCTCCTTTTGCTCCTTGTATTTCGGATCAATTAGAGAAATCCTCATATGCTCTGACATCTCACTTATGGTAATCAGTTCACCGGTAATTGGAGAAACCACATACTTTGTTGGGTCTCTTTCAGCAGCAATTCTCTCTTCAGGTCGCTTCCAGTTCTTCACAATTCTCATTGGAGGATCATCTTCATCCATAGCAGCCTTAACCTCGTCCTTCTTTTCCTCACCATTTTCCTCAAGGGTAGCACCTGTCATACCCTCTTGAAGAAGCTGCATCTCTTCCTCATCCATTTCCATCGCTACCTCCTTTCCTGGCTCAACAATTTCCTCTTCATCCCCATCCTTCGCTGAAACCTTGCTTCTCCTTATAACTTCTTCAAGAGTCATTGGCATAGGCAGTGCCTCATCTTCATCATCTGCAAAGTCAATTGATTCAACCACAACAAAATCATGCCAATCAATCATAGCCATTTGAATTCTTTCTTGCTCAATTTCATCTTCAGCTTTCTGCCTAGCTTGCTCCTGCGACTTTTCCCATTCAAGCCTATGCAAACACCGCTCAAGGACTGTTGTCCGGTCAGCAATACTCTTCCTTAGCTTTTCAGTCAAGCCTTTTGGAGGCATCAGAACCTTAGAATAGGCATCAGCAAGGGCAGTGAAAAACATAAACATGCTATGTGTAGGCTTCAAAAAATGGAATTGGGGGTTGTTCATCTCTCGACTAGTAAGACCTGTCAAAAAGGATTTTCCGTTTCGAGCAACAAATTGTGCAGTAAGCTTAATAATATCCAATTCCTCCCCTGTAATCCCCTCTGGCAGCCTTACAGTATATTGTTCAGCTTCTGGAGGCTCAAGTACCTTACGAACAGGTCTGAATTGCGCAGAAGGATCAGGCTTCTCATCTGCAGCAGCCACACCATCGGCAAGGACACCAGACTCAGCCTCCGAGGCCATCGAATCACCAGGCTGGGAAAGCGGTTGTTGTCCTGAAGATTGATTTTGTGCTCTGAACTCCGACAACCGATGTTGATAATAAGCATGGTAAGGATCTGAAGCATTTAGGAAATTAAATTTCACATTCCCTGCATTACTGGCGATAATCCTCTTCTCAAACTCGGGCCCATTCTTTGCCACGAATTGAGATGTCTTATCAACAATGTTTCTAATATCCGGTGGGGGGTGGATAATTCCAATGGTTCTTGTATGCGTTGCCACTGAACTCGCTTTGCTAGCTTTGTTTTGATCTTCTGCTTCTTTCATCTCATCATCAGGAGGCAACTGAGAAAGTGGGGTTGGGCCAAGATCCCCATCTTCTGGTGGAGCTGGAAGTGGTAATATTGATAATGTGCCCATCATATTGCAATACCCTTTCTCTCAATATACAGAAACAGAAAACTCAAACTAATGCAATAAACCACAGAATCTCCAGGGCATTAGAGGCTAAGTATCAGAGGGTTAAACCGCTGCACTGAGGATCTGCATCAATAATAACCCATAAAATAAGAAACTTTACACTTTTACTTGTTTTAAGATATGAGAAATGACATTTAAGAAAAAAAAGAACTATATAAACAACATTGGGTAACTTCTAGTAACACGTACACGCAAGAAGGCACATATTTTCTATGATATCCACATATTCCAAGGATATAGATAGAACGGCCTTGCTGCTTTTCTTTCCATTCTCAGACTAATAATACCTCACAAAGAGACTCTTCCAACTACAGCCACCCTTAACACAAAGCATCTTAGTGAACATTCACTGTTTAATATTGGGTGCAAGAAAGAAATTCACAGGTTTACATCCTAGTGTTCACTACATTAGCTTAGCTCAAATCAAACGCTTTTTTCCGGATCGCAATTCCCAAGGGATTGATTAACAAATTAGATATCACAAATTCTATACAGTTGCACATCTCTATGATTCTTCACTATCCCTTTAACCTAAATTTAATCCCAAGAAACCATATTCCTAAGAAATTGGGTGATAATTGTAACACATGAGTAAGCCACTCGCGGAAGACAATTAGACAAACAATAACCAGAAAATAAAATTAAATTAAAACGATGGCAAGTAACATGTCGAGAGTAAACAACTTCAATCCAACAAACAAATTAAAAAAATAAAAGTAAGAAACCCAAGATTACATAAACCCTAAAATGCAGAAATACGACCACCCAAATCGAATTAATGCAATCAGGTGAAATAAAATAAACTCGGCGAATCGAAATATGCAAGAAGTATAAACTAAAGCTCGAAATTCCAAAATAATAAGGCAATAAAAAAACAAAAGATTTAGAAATTTCAGAATCTAATCAAACCGAACAATTAGTAAAGAAAAACAACGAGAGGAATTCATACCTAATAATCTCTTAGAGGAGATCGAAAATATCGCCGGAACAAGGAGCAGAGGATTGATGAATGAGTTACTGCAAGTATGTCGTCTTCTTCGAAAGCATGATATCAAACTCGCAGGAACTGGAAGATAGATGAGGTAGAGAGTGCTAGATTAGGGCTCTTAGAAAAAAAAAAAAATCCCCCTTTTTTTTATTGGGATATATCCGTAAATCCAAAAATATTTCTATTTGCCGCCTTCATCGTATAAAACATTTTTTTGTCTACATAGGTCCGTGTTATAAACACAATAAGTTTTAAGGTTTTTTAAAAATTAATTATATCTAACAAATAAAATTTGGTAAAACATATTTATTAGGGGATATATAGAAATTATACTATTATAATCTATATATTAAAAGGTCGTTTAAAAGTAATTTCTTATATGAATCAATTTCATTGTTATTTTTAAGCAAAATTTAATAATAATTCGTTTAAAAGATATTTAAATAAAAGTTGGAATAATATTTTAGATAAATGTGTATGTAAAAGAATTAAGAACACCAAATAATAGAATTATATTTATTATATGAAGATATAAAAGATTTGAAATATTATTATTATTATTATAGTTTTATTATTGATAATTGATTGATTGATTTTGTAAATAATTGCAACATTTTGAATCTTGCACTACGGAGTATTTATAAAAAACATAAGTTGTTATGTCGAGAGGACCTATGACAGGTTCTGGCCCGATAAACCCTTCTCCTTACTAACAAAAAAAAAGAAGTTTGTTTTAAGCTATGACTCCCAAATTTTTCGGTTTCTAAGCTGTATCTATACATTTTCATAGTTATAAGTTATGCCCTCCACATCACGATATTTTATCGACAACACCCTTTGACAGTCATATCCATTAACGAAAGTTAAGTTATTTTATCAACAATGGTGTTGTGGCGTTCGTTATTAATTTGACATGTGTCCTATTTTAATCGGTTTAATACTTTTAAAAAAATTTAAAACATCAAAAAATAAAATAATAAAAAAGGTTATTGTTAACGTAAAAGGTTATTGTTAATAAAAATTAGTGAGGAGAAATTTGGGACTTTAGGGGCATAACTTTTAAGTGATTACCAAATTATTAATTTTTTTTTTTTTACAAAGATCACCAAATTAGGCCTGTTCACTTTATCTGTTTTAATGAAACAAAATTATATTTTTCTTTACGAAAAAAATAAATTATATTTGTTGAACTTAAATTATTTCTACTGAATTTAAATTAATTTTATTAAATTAAATTATTTTTTTTTGAAATGAAATTATTTTTACTGATTTTGTAATGAATTTGAATTTTATAACAGAATTTATTTTTACTTTGAAAGATTAAAATTAAGTAGGTTAAAAACAATGTTACATTTCCCACCAGTCGACCCCGTCGCCAGGAAACTCGCCGGCGGCATTCCTCCGATAATGGTGGTGCTCCAAACGCCGCCGATCCAACTGTCCAACCCACATCCTCCTTCCTCGACGCTCTACTTCTATCACCTTGAAACGACGTCGCCTCCTCCCACGGTGGCGCGGTGGTGGAGTAAAATTATGTCAAGGCTTTCATATATTTTTTTGGTTAGTTTCATTTCCACTCAAATATTGGTTTAATTCTTAAATTCATTGTTTATGTTTGCTCAAAATTCACTCTCTTAATGTTTATTTGATTGATCATTGGATTTGCCTTTCAAAATGTGGCATGCAGAACATTGATTATTAGCTGTTATTCATCCTGTAATTATTATTATTATTATTTTTTAAAGAAAACTCATCCTGTAATTACATTATGTTTTGTTATGCTTATTAACTTATGAGTTTCTAATTATCATCTGATTATTAAAAATTGATTACTGAAATCATAATTTGTGCTGATTACTGAAACCCACTCTGTACTATTATACTTAGTTTCAAATTGATAGAAAAATTCAGGATGTTAGAGTTGATTTAGAGTCTTGTAAGCAAATTCAGAGAAGCGAAGATGTTGAAGTGATAGTAAGGGTATGTTCTCATACGTTGAAATTCAGTCACTTCAGCTCCTAATTTCCTTCTCTTCAAAAAATATTTATTTCAGTTCAGCTCAGGTCAGTTCAGTTCAGCTGAGTTCAGTCAATGAGAACAGGCCCTAAGTAGCAACCTTGATTGCGAAGATGTGTTGGGATGATCACACCCTTGCTCAAAATCTAGGATAAGCAGTGGTTCTATAAAGATTGTGTTAAGGGCAATTAAGAGTTTAAGACTGCTTTCTTGGTGCAGATATGACATTATTAGGGAGCCATCATTTGAAAGTGAAAGGAGAAACATGGGAAATGGATAGAGTTGGGATCTATGGAGCAACTGCTCCATTGGTCTTTTGCTTATTATGTCAAATTTTGGGTACAAAAGATTAAAAGAAAAACTCTTCTCAGTTTATTTAGTAATAACAACATTCAATGATGATAAATAAGTGAATCAAAATGATAGCAGATAGCTGGTAAGCCTCTCTAAAGATATATATGAAGAACCGCCTTCCTTGACACAAAGAGTTGCCTTCTGCTGTAAAGCTGTGATTCTGTTCCTCATCTCTTCCCCTTCTTCCAGCATTAGTTTTCTTATTGACCTTGCTATTTCTTCTCTTTTTAGCCCCTTTTCCAACTTCAATCCTATCCTCCAACCATCACTAACATGCCTCGCGTTCATATTCTGGTCACTTAAGATAGGCTGGCAAAGCATTGGCACTCCTTCACAAATACTCTCTAAAGTTGAATTCCATCCATTGTGAGTCCAAAACCCTCCAACAGATGGGTGGGATAAAACCTCTAATTGAGGTGCCCATTTGACAACATGCCCTCTCTCACCTACCATTTCAAGGTAGCCTTCTGGCAATGAGTCATTGTTGGCTTCTGAACCTTGGATCAATCCGGGGCGAACCACCCATAGGAAAGGCACCATGCTGTCAAGCAGTCCCCAGGCTAGCTCAAGAAATTCAGTTTTACTCATAGCTGCAACACTCCCAAAACTCACATACAGTACAGACTTGGGTGCTTGCTTATTCAGCCAACCGATGGAGGTTTGGTCTTGTGCCCAATAGTTGGTATCATAAGTTGGTGAGTGTTTGTGTAAGGGGCCTATAGGAAAGATGGGAATGGAAAGGATTTGGTGAACTCGAGCTATCGAATAATCTTCCAGTTCCTCAAAGGTATTGCCTATAACACCTTGGGAAATCTTGGTTTCTTGGACTAGAGCTTCAAGTCTTTCATTATGTAGCCATTCTAAAGGAAGATCCCTGGCTTTCAAAGGAGGAAGCTCGGGCAGTGGTTCGTTTAGTTTATGATCTGAAATGTGGGAGAGAAAAAGAGAGGGGTCAAGGATTTTTGCAGAAATATAAAGACCCAAAGTTTTAATAACCTCAAGTAAAGTTGTAAAACAACTTAAACACATACAGTATCTTAATGGGTTGTAAAGCAGCTATGCTAATATCTGCCTATAAACTTGAAGGTTGTCTTTCAACACTTTTGATTCATGTTTTTGATTTCCGTTGATTTTAATTGTACAAATCCTATTGGGAATTTGGGTTTTCTTTAATTCCATCCTGCATTTATGCAGACATAACATTTGTATTCAAAATCAGGACATCATCTGCTTACTACTCATTTGCTGCTGAACACTGACTCTATGAACTCCTAAGAAATTATTCAAATATGGAGCTAGTAGTGATTCTGTATAAGATATTTTGTGTGTGTGTGTGCTGTTATACATACATCTTCAAAGACTTTGGTCTATATCAGTATATAAAATAACACCATAATAAAGTGTGTAACATGCCTTAGGCGTCTTCATGTAGCCGTATACATGAGTACACGACGCATGAAATGTGTAGGGGCAGGTAACACACACGCGCCACCTTTGATTTTACAATAGATTTTGTGTCTAATTCAAGTGTTAACCTTTTGGAGTACATCAATAACTTGAGTATAAATTCAGGTGTGTGGCAAAATGCTCTTTTTACCGTCTTTCCTAGATAAATCCCACCAAGTTTGTCTTTCTGACTTGACAATATTCTAGGCAAAAGAAATCAAGTTTTGAAGTTACCTTGGGGAGGGAAATAGCCTTTTTCTCGTAAACAAGGCAGGGAACTGAAAACGAGTAAAGACGACATGCTACCAGTCCTCAGCACCATCCTAGGTAGGTTAAAGCTAGCAGCAACAGACCCAGCAAATTTCCACACAGGATCTGTTATTAAGGCAGCAATAGGCTCTTTGTCTGTAGCAGCACCAGTCTCTTGCAAAATTTGAGACAAGCAATCCTGGAAAGGTTCCGAGCAATCATCCATGACAGATAAGATTGTGGAAGGGTCAGACGGAGGGATTTTAGAATATGACTCAAGCGAGCTGTTGTAAAAGGAGCGGAAGGTCAAGTGTGGGAAATAAGTAGGATTTATAGGATTATAAGGAGTCTGGATAATGGTGATGGAGAAGCCTTTGGAGTGTAGGAGGGTTGCTAGATGTAACATAGGATATTGATGACCCTGAAATGGTGTAGGAAACAGTAGTAATCTACGACCCAACTTGCTCTGCTTCATTATCCCTTCCATTGGAGCTTATGATTGATTTTTCAGATTTTTGCTTTTCTTTTGAGTTAGGTGTGTGAAATATTATGTTGAGTCGTTTTATATTGGTTGCTGTCGTTTTTTGCATTTAGTGGATGATGAACTTGTCATTTTTTGCTGTCATCTACTCAACCTTATTTTGCTTTTACTACGTAGAATGGGTTGAAAAATCATGCTTTTTTTTTTGGCATATGGTTGAAAAATCATGCTTGTCCTTATCAGATGTTTCAAAAATGTTTATTCATATTTTGACATTTTATTTTTCCTTTTCTCTCTCCATCCCTTAAATCATTTACGTTTTTTTTTTATTTTATGTTATTTTATATTTTTTTTTATATGTATATATATGGCTGTTTATTTCTCTTTCTTTACTTGCTTCAATTTTTTTTTTTTTACAATACTTAATGTTGATTTAGTGATCCTCTAAAGAATAATAACTGCAGTGAAGATTTGTGTTAAAAATTATGTATTTATACTTCTTTTTAGTGACTATGTTAAAGGACATGTTTTATTCAATATTGACCTTTCTACAGTGATTAAGGTAATATGAAATGTTTGTCAAAAAAAAAAAAAGACAATATGAAATAACATTTGTGTGGATAAAAAAAAATGTTTTTTTTAAAAAAATATTTTTATAAAGAAGTTAAAAATCTCAAAACCAGTTCTTTACCGGATCCAAGCATGGATATTTTGCTCCGTATTAGAACAAGTCTGGTCTACCGTCTACAGTCTACAGTCTGTCAAAATAGACAATTCCAATCTCTTGTTCCCGTTTGGGTTTGGACCTTTGATATTTGAGATGAAAGAGGGGGTGGATTGTACTGAATTCTTTATAGGCCAATTTTCGCGGAATTAAAATGGAAGTACAGAGCAACTTAAAGTGAAGACAAGAGATAATTAGTGAGATTCTCCAAGGATTTGTATGAGGAGCCACCTTCCATGACAGAAAGAGTTGCCTTTTCTTTCAAAGCTGTGATTCTATTTCTCATTGCTTCACCTTCTTCTTCCACCATCAGTTTTCTGATTGCTCTCTCTATTTCACCTCTTTTGATCCCCTTGTCCAGCTCCATTCCAATTCTCCAATGGTCGCTTACGTGCCTCGTGTTTATATTCTGATCAGCAAAGAAAGGTAGGCAAAGCATTGGTACACCTTCACTAATGCTCTCCATAATAGAGTTCCATCCACAATGAGTCCAGAAACCTCCTACTGCAGGGTGGGCTAAAACTTCTTGTTGAGGTGCCCAGTTGACAATATTCCCCCTTTGACCTATTGTGTCTGAGTAACCCTCTGGCAAGGGGAGTGGATCAGTTTCATCTGATCCTTCAATTGAGCCATGGCGAACCACCCATAGGAACGGCTGCTTGCTGTTGGCTAATCCGCAGGCTATCTCTACAAAATCAGCTTTGCTCACTTGTACCATGCTCCCGAAACTAACATAGAGCACTGACTTGGGGGCTTGTGTATCTAGCCATGAAATGGATGTATGATCTTGCGTCCATATGCTAGCCTGAGAACTTGGTGAGTTTTTGTGTATTGGACCTAGTGCAAAGATGGGGATGGGAAGGACTTGGTGTACTCTTGCTATATAAAAATCTTCAAGTTCCTCAAAAGTGTTGCAGATGATACCTTGTGAATTCTCCATTTCTGTAATTATATCAACCAAGAGGTTATGTTTTGCTTCTGGAGGTAGGTCTTTGACTTTGAGTGGTGGGAGCTCTGGTACTGGCTCATCAGATTTAGTCTCTGAAACATATGTTTTTATGTGAGAGATAGACGTAGATGAGTGATCAAAATTTGAAAGGAAAGAAATGCCATAAAGAACAGAAAATTAGAATTTGCAATGAAATTTAAAACTGCATATAATAGTGAGTACGAGGCCTGTTAATAACATATTAAATCTTAAGATACCAAGTAATAATACATGTACTAGTGTGCGGCCCGTGAGCAAGTTACATTTAGTAAAATACACTTACAAGTGTGGCCAAGGTGTTGCCCCGAGTTGTTGCTGTGATAAACATGTTATAGTGTTGACACGTGTTAGACAGGTGCTTACAGCCATTTTTTGTTTCTTTGATGATTATTTTGAACGCCTATAGTTATTTTAGCTTGGCTTGTGTCCTGTTTTTCATTTGAGTGAAGTACATGGTATAGAGTATATGATTGTTGAATTCTTCTTTCTAACCCTTGATGTTAGACCATGATGTTTACCTCACATACGAGGTAAAATTTGTACCAATTCTCGGTATTTTTCAGTTTATCAATAAGTTGAAGAAAAATCCAGTACAATAATTGTTTAAGATCCTTGTATTAAACAAACTTACACTTTTCTCCTTCAGTTATGACCACTTTTCTCTATTGTCCCCAAAAATTAGACAAGCTATCCAATTAGTACTAGTTAAACTTTTTCATCATATCCTTGATGATTCCTTAACAAATGTGGATTAGTATAATGTTTATATAAAGATTATGTTGGTATGGGTTATATGTTAGTGAAAAATAATTGTGTACTATTATAATGTTAATTCAAATATTGCCAAAGCAAAGATGTTGAGGTTAGTACCTTGGAGAGGGTAGTAGCCCTTTTCTCGTAGAAATGGCAGGGAATGATAAACGTAAAAGGTAGACATGCTAGCACACCTCAGGACGATCCTGGGAAGACTAAGGCTACTGGCAGCAGACTTTGTGAATGACCACAAAGGATCTGTAATAAGGCAAGCGATGGGCTCCTTGCTCAAAATCTGGGTTAAGCAATTTCTGAACGGTTCTGAGCAGTTTGTGTTTAGGGTGGCTAGGATCGTGCTGTGATTATTTGGTCCAAATGTGGCGTTATCAGGCAAGCCATCATCCAGGAGGTGGAAGGCGAAGTGCGGGAATAGGGTAGGATCAAGAGATTTATATTTTGTTTGGGTTATAGTGATTGAGAAACCTTTTGAGTGAAGAAGAGTGGCTAGATGGAACATTGGTGTAACATGGCCTTGCAAGGGTAGAGGGAATAGGACTAATCTTATCTTTCTTTGCTGTGTCGTTCCCTCTTTAGGAACTTTGGCTAACATTTGGGACATTGGGTCAAAGGCTTCTCTGTAATATTTTGTGTAGCAATAAGGGTTTGGGTTTGCCCAGAAATGCTTACTACTTTGTAGGGAATTTATAGAAGATGCAGAATCCGAAACTTTGGTAGCATCGTCGTGTTTTGTCTTAGAACTTTGTCTGTTGGAATTACATTGAAAGCAGCCAAAAGCAGAAGAGTACATGCATGCGTTGTAGCACTAATAAAACATGTGATTATGCATGGACAACTGTTTCATTGATATTTTTTCAGCTTCCCCCATACCATGCAGTGGTCCCATGATACATTGGAGATTCAAAGCTCTTGTACATGTGCTTTATGTAAATTTTTTTAGTATGTGGATGAGGTATTCTTAAATGCCGGAAGAGACGAAGAGTGAGAGGGGGCTGATTATTTTTTGTTTGGATGTGAGATTTGGGGGGGGGGGGAGGGAGGGGTGGATGAGGGAATCTTAAATTGCCGGAAGAGACGAAGAGTGAGGGGGCTGATTATTTCTTGTTTGGATGTGATTTGGGGGGAAGGGAAGGGATTTCTCGTTCCCTCTTTTTCCCTAATCTTTCAGTTTTCCTCTTATTTCTTATTGAACACAAGCCTAACGATGTGTTTGGATAGCAATGGTGGAGAAAATAGGCAGAAGGGGAAGAGAGGAAAGGGAATTAAAATTGATTATTTATTTATTTATTTATTTTATTTAAAAGAGGGGTGGTAATTTTTTTATCAGCATCACAATCGTGTTTACTTCTAACTGAAAAAAAATTAGTCCAAGTTACAGCCATAAATGTCTAAATACATCCAAGAATAATAATAGTAAAAAAAAAGAGTTTGAATAAGATAGAGGCCTCTGTTATTCACCTTGTAGAGTAAAAGTAATACTTTGTGACTCAATTGATTCTATGGTATTACTTGATTTCATATCCTTGGTCTTTCAGTACCACGAAATGATATAATGTGATTAGTTAACTGATCCAAAGCTTCACATGAAGACCCTCCTTCCATGAGACAACTATGTGCTTTCTCTTTCAAAGCTGTTATCCTTTCTCTCATCTCGTTGCCTTCTTTTTCCAACATCAGTCTTCTGATCGCGCTCTCTATTTCCTGTCTCTCTAGCCCTTTCTCCAAATACAACCCGATCCTCAAGATATCACTGACATGTCTAGTATTCATCTTCTGATCCCCAAAAAATGGAAAGCAAATCATGGGTACTCCTTTGGAAATGCTCTCAATAGTTGAATTCCAACCACTGTGAGTCCAAAATCCTCCAACACTTGGATGGGCCAAAACCTCCAACTGTGATGCCCAGGTCACAATATAGCCTCTCCCACTCACAGCCTCGAGAAAATTTTCAGGTAATATGTCATCATCCGTGTCTGAGCCATTAATCATCCTGGGTCGGACCACCCACAAGAACGGCTGTTTGCTGTTGGCAAGCCCCCAAGCTATCTCTTCAAACTGATCCTTGCTTATAGCTGCAATAGTCCCAAAACACAGATATAATACAGAATTTGGTGCCTGTGTGTTTAGCCAGGTGATGGAGCTGTGGTCTTCATTGTGTTTTTCACCCATACAAGTTGAGGGGTATATGTGCAGTGGGCCTACCGGAAAGACGGGAATACCGGGAGCACTTCTGCCAAATTGGTCTAATAAAGACCCTTCTAGCTCCTTGAATGTATTACAAATAAATCCCAGATGATAACTCTTGGCTTCTTTAACCACAGCAGCAATTGCATCATGATTTGCATCTGATGGTAGGTCTTTCACTTTGAGGGGTGGAAACTCCAACACAGCTGCTTCTTTTTCACCCTCTGAAAGATAGAGGCAGTTAAAGGAATGAAGAAAAACATAAATTCATGTGTACAGAATATATATGCTCATTAATATTTCCTTTCTTGCAACACCTCATATTAATTAGAATTGATTAAGATCTCCAAAACTTTTGTGTGTGCTCGTACATATGTATGTATGGCTAAATATCTGCATGAACCATGGTGATTCGAACAAAACCATCGTCATCTAAACCCAGCCTTTGGAGAGTTATGGTTCTACAATGACAGCCGATTTGTTAAAAAACTACCAGATCTTAGATTTTGCTGACCTTTGTCTTTCTCTGTATACAGGACGACTTTGTTCTGGATTTGGATAAAGAAGTTATTCAAGTTGACAAGCTAGGAAAGTAGGAAATATACATACCTTGGAGGGAGAAGTAGCCTTTTTGCCGTAGAAGTGGCAGTGATTCATACAGAGCAAAAGCAAGTAAGCCACCAGTTCTTAGAGCTAGTCTTGGAAGGTAAAATTCATCAGCAACTGTTCCTGCGAAATCCCAGATTGGGTCTGATATCAGACAGGCAACTGGCTCTGGGTCCTTGGTAGCAGCCTCCAAGACCTGGGCTAAGGATTCTCGAAAAGGCGCTGAAAAGCTCTTATTCAGTAAAGTTACTGCCTCCCAAGGATCAAATGAGGAAACCAGCGTTTCAAGACTCCACTGTCCTCCTTCCATGTAGTGGAAGGTGAAGTTAGGAAATGCAGTTTGTTCATAAGAGTTGAGACGAGTTTGGATGATATCGATGGAAAATCCTTTAGAATAAAGTGCATTTCCTAAATTGAACATTGGAGTTGTGTGGCCTACATATGGATGGGGAAGGAGTATTACTCTGCAACCCAGCTTGCTGTTTTGCTTCTCCATTCTACTTGATGCTGTTTCTCGTTGATTGCAGCTTTTCTTTGACTGCCTAATTAAAGCTCTAAACAACTTTTCTTTGAAACAAGCTCTAAACAACTTTTGTTAGTCTTGATTTGTTTTTTGGTTTTTCAAACAAAGTTTGTCTTGGTTCATGCCCTTCATGGTATGAAAGAATATGCAGGTTATGCTTGCGTACAATAATTGAAATTTGCAACTACTTTCAATAAGATAAGTTTTTGTTGAATAAATATATTATCCTTGTTATTTGATCCTATTGTCGTTTTGGCCTTGTAGCATGTTGACTGGCACATTCTGTTTGGGTCTTCTATAGTTCTATACTTCTAATATGTAGTGAAATTGCAATTGGTACTGGACTTGTAAATGGCTAAAACATCTAACGCCCCATTTGGTTGGCATTAGCAAATACCCTCACAACAACATTTCATTGGACACGTTTGCCAACACATAACTTTGAGCATTTATATATTTATTTGTCTATTAAATTATAAAATGTTGATATAATGCAAATATACATTGTAACTAATATAGCAACAGTATGATAAAGTTGTTTGTTATCAAAGCCACTAATCGAATACTTGTATTGCAAAAATATCAAAGTATTGCACTTTAAAATAAAAAAATAGTAATGTTATATTCTATTACAGTTTAGGAGGGAAGTTCTATTTCAATCATTCGTATATGATATTGGCATTACTTGATCATCTTCAATTATATATAGTATTTTTTTATTATTATTATTTATAAATGTCTCTTTATTGTTTGTTGTATTTTGGAACATCTTCAATTATATATAGTATTTTTTTATTATTATTATTTATAAAGTTATGAGTTTATAAATAACTTTAATCATCATTAACTATAAATTATAATTCATAATCTTAATAATCTCATTAACTATAAATTATAATAATTGAATATTAATAAATCTACTTATTGAGACGATTCCAACTAGTACCCCAAGACTTTTTTTAAAAAAAAAAATTTATGTATAGTTCACAAACATGGGTCAAAACTATGTTTAATGAATAGTGTCAAATCTCAAATGAGGCCCTAAAAAAAAAAGAGGGAGTATGTCCATGCAAGTCGAAAAAAAACGATTTCAGATCGGATTGGATCGAGTGCGGTGGATTCGGGAATCAGTTCTGGGTGGTTAGGTTCCAGTCCCCTCCCGATTGTTGTTGCAGGGGATCGAACACGGGTCTTCCCTACTAAGTGTAGTCTCAATCACCACTACACCAACAACTAATTGGTATAATGTTACATAATTTGACCAATCAAAATCAAATGATCTAGTACTTACTACCTCAAATGTATGATGCAAATTACTCTTATTTAGAATTTATAACCTTTTTTTTTTATTTCATAAGTTCATAAATAAATTTGCCCATAAACATGTCATTTTATCAAAACAACTAATATTTTCATAACTCTGTGATGACCTGCGGGCTGGGGAGCTAGGCTGGTTAAACCTGTGAAAGGTGTCTGTTCAGTAAGGTCTTTTATATTATCTTAAAAAAATATAAATAAATAAATAAAAACCCTAATATCTTCATAAAACCATTGTAAATTTTTGGTATTACTCAATACTCAGTACACAATGCACCTAAACTCAAACCTCTTGCCAATCTAACAACATAAAGAGAAGATTGATATTGTACTCAATACTAATTTCCTTAACCGTGTTTGAAATTTGATAGTCTAGTTTAAAAGTTTATAAGTCATTTTAGTTCTCTTCCTATTCATACTTCGTATTTCCCTTAATACTCAATAAAATACACCAATTATAATTTATACAATATTGATTAATTGTACTTTTCAACACAAAAGGTTTTAGAGAGTGCTCAAAGTAGTATCAATTGACCATGGTCATTAAACATCTTTACATATATGTCATTAAACATCTTTACATATATATACTAAAAACACGTTGAATTGATTACTTGATGATAATTACTCGTATGTAACTAACATTTGAAAAAGGGGCAAAACATGATCCAAAAGTTCGTATACCATACAGTACTTATTAACATTAATTTCAAACTTATGTAAAATGCCCTTTTGTAACATTTCTCAATATCTCTTACCATTAATCTTCATCAACTTTCTCAAAAAAAAAAACTTCATCAACTTCATTAACTGAATCACTGCTAATACATCCCTCAAATTTTTAAAAATAATCGCATAACTAATTTTACTTATATAGTATCAAGTTATCAACTATGAATGTATGATTAAACTTCATCTAAATCCAGAAACAGGGATAGATTATACAGAGTAATATTACCTAGTTAATAGAATAAAAGAACTGTATATGAATCAAATAATCAAAACAACTTCAATTAAAAAAAATCATTAGAAGGAGAGACAGTATAACACAAAAACTGTTTTATTATATACCAACGATCATATCTTACATACTAGTGATACTATTGAAACTGAAAACAAACTAAATAATAAACAGAGACCACATTTTTTTCCTCAACAATTTATTACAACCTCAAACTCAAACGATTAAACTTCTTTCATCCTTGAAATTTCCAGAAACAAGGTTAATTAATTAAGAAACGTTGATAGATTTAACCTCAGGTTTAGGAGCTTCAACCTTAGGAACAGTAACAGTAAGAACACCATTCTCCATTGCAGCCTTGACATTATCAACCTTAGCATTATCGGGCAGCCTAAACTTCCTCATAAACTTACCAGAACTCCTCTCAACACGATGCCATGTATCATTCTTCTCCTCCTTCTCTCTTGCCCGCTGCCCGCTGATTCGGAGCACATTTCCATCTTCAACCTCGACCTTTACCTCCTCTTTCTTCACTCCGGGAAGATCGGCCTTGAAGACGTGAGCCTCCTGAGTCTCCCTCCAGTCGATGCGGGCGTTGGCGAAGGCGGCGGTTTCAGAGGCGGTGCCGGAGCGAGGGACGGTGGTGAGGGAAGAAGGGAGGTCGAAGAATGGGTCCCATACGTCGAGGGAGAATGGGTCGAAGATGTTGCTGCGACGGTTGGTGGTGTTGAACCAGTTGTTTGGGATTAGCGACATTGTTAATTGATGATCAAAATTGGAGTGATTTGTTTGTTTCTTATGGTTTTTTTGAGAGATTTTTTGTTTGCTGTGATTTTGCTGATTTCTGATGATGATTGAGGATGGAAACGGATGGGGGTTGAATTTATAGGGGAAGGTGATGAAAGAGGGGTGATTTCGTGAGATTTCTGGAGAATGGGTGACGTGTTAAAGGGTGAGCATGGGAGAATTGATGGGAAGAATGTAGAATGTGGAGAACCGTCGTACCCAGAATTGCCTAGAGCTTGTACTAGTGTCTTGAATGTTCTACGCTAAACATGAAATTTCTCAATTTTTCTCTCGGTGTAGCATGATAAAAATGTACAGTAATGTTTTGTTTTTTTTTTTATAATTTTTTTTTTTTTTATGATCAAGAAAAAACACAAAATTGCTTTTTACCATCAAACTTTTAAAAATTTTATCAACCACCAACTAAAAATCTAAAAATTGTATTTCATCACTTGTTGTCAAAATAACCATTAAATCTAACGAAATTAAAAAAATTATTCGATTTTCATGTCAAAAATATGTTCTTAAATGGTTTGGAGGGTCAATATGGTCCTTTGGATTTGATTTAGGGTTAAAATTAACTAAAAATTATCGTAAATTAAGTTTAAGGTATAATTAGTGATTGTGAATTACACCTATTTATTAACATATATAAAAGTATATTCATTTTGGTTGTATACTAGTAAAACATATTACTCTTTTAATCATTCATATTTCAGTACTCTATATATATATATATATATATATATATATATATATATATATATATATATATATATATATATATAATTTATCTTTCCATTTTATATGTTTGTTGTATAGGAAATGCACCCTAATTGTTAAACATGATCATCATATTATCAAAAACATCATATATCTTTTCACAATCCTATTATTGTGTCAAAATTACCTAAATATGATTATGGTTTGTGTCGTATCTAGACTTATTAGATTTGACTGCTTATGAGCTCACTATACATGTTTTACTAATCAAGTTGACAAAGTCATGTCATTTTGCATGTTTAGGGCTCTAGGCCAATTTAACTTATCTTAACCGGTTTTTATATGTGGACTACATCATGTCATGCTTTGTACAATTGTACATATATATTTTCCAAAATATGTTTCCTAGACTCAAGATCTGTTCACATTTACTAAATTGAGTTGAATTGAACTGAACTATTGGAGCTAAACTGAACTGAATTGAGTTGAAATGAATATTTTATGAGAGAAGGAAATTAGAAGCTGAACTGATTGAAAATTTGAAACTAAACTGAATTGAAATGATTGGAGTTGAATTTAACTGAAATTAAGCTGAAATGAACAGACCTTCAATATATAGAATAACACAATGTACCATAACTTGTTTTTTCATGTTGGGCCATGAGATACCTAGACTAATAAATATATCAATGTCATATATATATATATATATATATATATATATATATATATATATATATATAATTAAAACTTATAGCAGACAGGTTATTTTGCCATATGTCATTAATTTTGCCATTTGGAATATAATATGACGCCATATCATATCAATCCATAATGATTGAAAAACTCCATGCATTAACCTCCATGTATTAATGTTTAGTTTTATTGAAAAACTTTTCACATGCATAACAAATAATTTGTTACTGTATATAACATCAAACATCAGAATGAGAAAAAAATACTCATGGGTGTACGATACACTCAGACGTATATAACAAGCTCTTTGCATAACACCCTATTTACATTATCCTTGGAATGCAAAAGAGTAGCATATATATTGACATCAAATTTATCAATTTTTTATTTTTTATTTTACTATGGATTGATTTATCATTTACATTAATGCAGAAAATAATTATTATATTCAAACTATTTAAGCTATCATCTTAAAAAACAAAAAAGACACACCACTTAAGCTCTTAGTGACAAACAAGCCAAATATATATAATTCAATTAAAATAATATATTTATAATGACCCGAAGCATCGTTCGGGCCTTCGGGCCAAAAACTAGTTTTATCTCTATAATATTACTATATCAGTAGTTCAGTACTCTACAACTCCATTGATTGGGTTGGGTCATGAATTCATGATTCTTATTTTGGGTCGTTCAATTTCTTAGTTATTGGGCTCTCCGTTATTAAATTCTTACCCGATAAATTTCAGGAATTCGGAACCGCTCAAAATTTCGGGTACTTCACTACTTCCTAGCGTATCCAATTTCCCAATGCCCACCACATGCTCGATAAAATGCTCAAGAGAGAAAAAAAAAAAAAAAAAGAAAAAGAAAAAAAAAAAACTCCAATGGAGTTTAGCCTGGAGTACGAACAAATACAGCTCAAAATTATTTCTGGGAAATTACCTTAAAATTGTCACTTTCAGTAACTTTCAAATGATGTTGATGGGTTTACAGGCGAAGTTGTCCTTAACAAAGGTACTGCCTCCTCCTTTACTGGCTGAAAGTTGTTCCTCTTTTTTATTCCGTGATACTGTATTTGCCCTTTAAATTTCATTGCTTTATTGTGATATTGACATTCAATTTTATGCAAGATTTGCTTCTTTGTAATTGATACAATGATATGGCCTCCACATTGTAATAAAGACAACAACAAAGCCTTACACTCCCACCAAAATGATTCATGTTGGCTAACATGAATTGTCGGCAAAAAATAATTCAAGCGAAAAAACAATGATTTTTAGTTATTGCACATGCAGCCGATGCAGGGTTAGTGAAAACTTGTACTCGTACGTCTCGTAGTAGGAATAATGTAGGATTACTTCCCTTTCGATACATTGTGTCACGTTAAACATAGTCTTAAGAATTATACGGAGTGTGAATGTACGATACATGTTGTGTGGATGACAATTACGGAGTAGTCAACTCATACAACCACGCTTTAAGATAAGGCTGGTCAATAGATTTTACGTGGTTTGATATATGTTAGTCTTTATCAATTGGTGGTTGGTGTAGTGGAGAATGACTGAATGAGACTACACTTGTTAGTTTGATCCACCGCAACAACCATTGAGAGGAGACTGAAACCTAACCATCCAGAATTGATCCCTGCATCCGTATTAGCTCAAAGGGTGGAACAACAACAATAACAACAACAAAAAAAAAATGACCGAGTGTGCATATGTTAAAAGAAATATTAAACCTTGTAATTTTTTAACTAATAATTAGCTTTATATTTATGTAACTAAAAAAACTAATTTTATTTATTTTTTATAGTTTCCTCTTTGCTATCTTCCAACTTGGTCTTAAAGAGACTAACTATAGATCTAAGTAAGCTTATGAATATCAGAGTTAAACAAAAAAACCAATGCATGCTAATGCAAGCACAGTAATATATACACCAGAAATTAAAGCCAAGCCAGCTGAATTGGATAAGATGAGGCGAACATTGGTGCTTTTCCCTTTACCATTGCAAGGGCATCAGACACCCATGCTTCTGGTAGCAAACATCTTATATTCAAAAGGCTTCTCCATTTCTATTATTCATACTCATTTCAACTCACCTAATCCTGATAGTTATCCACATTTTACTTTCCATCCTATTTCTGAGAGCTTGTTGGGCTGTAAAGCTTCTACTGCAGATGTTATAGGACTTCTGAATACGCTTAACGTTAACTGTGTGGTGCCTTTCAGGGATATTTTGGGTCAGATACTGTCTGAGAATGCTGCCAAAGAGCCTGTTGCTTGCTTAATTACTGATGCTATGTGGCACTTCACACAAGATATTGCAGACAACCTTTTGCTCCCAAGGATTGTGTTGCGGACCAGTAATCCATCATCTTTTGTTGCATTTACTTATTTGTCGCTTTTTCGAGAAAAAGGGTACCTCTCGGCACAAGGTATGATATCAAAACATTTGCTTATGTTTTGTTCCACTTTCTTTGTACTGCCTTGCTAATAACAAGTCCAAAAAGATCACTCCTTAGTTGAGAAGCTAATTTTCCCCAAGAAATGGAAAATAAAGTGTGTGAATGCCATCATATTATTTATAAAACTAATGTTCATGTTTCAAACTTTGTTTATTTAGCTGTTTGGTAGAAGGAAGAAAATGGAAAAGAAAGGAAATTAATTTAAGTAAATGTATAGCTTTTCCATGTTTGATTTTAGTATGTATATGATGAAATGTGTGGGGATGCTAAGGAAAAGAGAGTACTCAATTATTAAACGCCTCACATTTTTTTCTTCCCAAAATCATGAATTTTCCAAATCCTCTAACATTGCCTACCAAATCAATGAATTATTTCAGTGAAATGCTAGTTACTTTCATTTCCCTTCTTAAACATCTTTGAAATATTTTGAACCCAAACAAACAATAATTTAAGTCATGCCTTCAGATAGTTTCCAAGTGTCATGTTAGGATTCATGTTTTTTGTTATTTGGAGAGTGTCATCATGTGAATATGTATCAATAACATCATGTGAATATGTATCAATATCATGATCTCGCATTGGAGTCCTGTATCAGATTTTGAAAATTTCAAGGTTATCCTCTGCTGTCCTTCTATAATACAATAAAGGACTGATCAGCTCTGCTACAATTATATGTTTTAAATTCTTCTAGAGGCTGCATAGGTAGCTAGATCCTCTGTTGGCTTAACAGCATTGTAGATATTATATCATTCTACACGCTGTCTTTTCTTTCATATGAATCCATGAAAGTAATGCAAGGCCAGCAAGGGATTATTTCATCTAATTTTCCATAATTTGTATATATTGATTAATTGATATTGCCGTAATTATGAGTATTTTTATTTAGTAATAATGTTGGAAACTATAGTGAACTGGTTCGAACTTTTAATTTTTGTACAAGATCAGATGCATGTCTTTGTACTTTTGTTGCACTCCATGGATTTATCAAAATGACAATAAAAGCAGGAAAGTACGGCTAGAAGTCATAAATTAGTGTACAATATAATGTGTGGAGTATTTGATGAAGTTTACAAAGATTTATTTGTGTAGAAAATGATATATTGTAAAATGAGACACAAACTTGCCTCGTTCATTATGTAATTGTGTGTGTATTATACATCACTTGTTGCTTTTAAGGGCCTTTAAGAATATAGAAGACAATATATGCTGACAAGCAACTGTTTCAGAATTTGAACCGGACTTATTATCTGACTATTCGATTATCTGAGATCAGGACCGGACTTAAATTTTTCTTTTAGATTTCCCAATTTTAATTTATTTTCGATCTTCTTATGCTCCTCAGGTTGTCAATTGGAAGAGAAAGTCCCAGAGCTTCCACCTTTGAAAATGAAAGACATTCCCATACTTGGAACATGTGATCTTGAAGCAACTTATGGATTAGTTTGTAACATGATAGAAAAAACCAAGTCCTCAAGAGGACTCATATTCAACTCTTTTGAGGAACTTGAAGGTCCTGCACTGGCCATGCTCCAGCAAGACTTCAACATTCCCCTTTTTGCAATTGGCCCGTTTCACAAGCAGGCTCCATCTTTATCAAGTAGCTTGCTAAAACAAGAACGAGACTGTATTTCCTGGTTGAATGCTCATGCACCCAAGTCAGTGCTATACATTAGCTTTGGAAGCATAGCTGCAGTTAGTGAGGCAGATTTTCTGGAGATTGCCTGGGGCTTAGCAAATAGCAAACAACCATTCTTATGGGCTATTAGGCCAGGGTTGGTCCGTGGCTTAGATGGGCCTGCTCCACTGCCATCTGGGTTCTTGGAGACAACTGCAAAGCAAGGCCGGATTGTTACATGGGCCCCACAAGACGAGGTTTTGGCTCATCCTGCAGTTGGAGGATTTATGACTCACAGTGGCTGGAATTCGACCTTGGAGAGCATTTGTGAAGGTGTGCCAATGCTATGTCTTCCTTGCTTTGGTGATCAGATGGTTAATGCTAGACATGTAACTGATGTGTGGAAGGTGGGTTTGCGATTTGAGAATGGACTAAACAGAGATGATATAGAGAACTCTATTAGAAGAGTACTGGTGGAAAAAGAAGGCAAAGAGATTAGCCAGAGGTTGGCATATTTGAAAGAGAAGGCAAGTCTTTGTCTAGCATCTGGTGGATCCTCTCACAAGTCCTTGGAAATCTTGGTTTCACATATCTTATCATTTTGATTATTTTACTTCATGATAGATGTGTACCCCTTTGGACCCTCTCCTTGACATTAATTTAGTGTAAGTGACTTTTCAATGTGATCAAATGTTGTTTTCTATGTACCCAATTATCTGCACTGCCTTTCTCAAGTAATGACTAGCTTCTCTCCTTTATCTGCAGTTTTCTGATGATAAAATTGACTGTCTATCTCAGTCTGTGGGAAAACTTGTTAGAAGTCAAAGCAATTACGCAGCTTGACATTGCAAAAATCACATCTTTATATCTAATTTACAGTGTACCATCAATTTCATTTGCAAACTCTAGATTTCTCAACAAGTGTTATAATCACTGCTTTCAATGTTCTAATAAAATTCTGGTCCACCTTCAGAAACAGGGAAGCTGTGGTCCAGACTCCAGGGATAGATACTGATGTCTGATGCAAGCTTTTCTTAAATAAGAGGGCGGTAACGCTGTCCAGTATCCCTCAACCTAGAATCTAGCTAGGCTGCCTGTAGTGCAACAACAGATGGTTAGACAAAGATTGGTGTTCTTCCCTCTGCCATTGCAAGGCCACCAGACTCCGATGCTTCAACTTGCAAGCATCCTATATTCTAAAGGATTCTCCATTTCTATCATCCATACCAACTTCAACTCTCCTAATCCTGCTAACTACCCCAATTTTACCTTCCACTGCATCCCTGATAACTTGTCAGAAAGTGAAGCTTCTACTGAAGATCTTACACTGCTTCTGCATAACCTTAATACAAACTGTGTGGCGACTTTCAAGGCAATTCTATCACAACTAATGTCAAATTTTGATGTTGCTTGCTTAATAACAGATATTATATGGTATTTCACGCAAGCTGTTGCTGATAGCTTTGACCTTCCAAGGATTGTGTTGCGGACTAATAATCCATCTTCTTTCATGGCTTTCACTTACTTGCCGCTTTTTAAGGAAAAGGGTTACCTATCTGCCCAAGGTATGTTCTATAACTTGTGTTTTAAGCTGTCTTTTTTTACCTTGCCTAATGCTATCTTCTGTAAAACATTTGAAGTACCTAGAAGCTTCCATAGGAATAAGATTGAGAAGAACCTGAGTGAGAAATTATAAGAGTGTCTGAGTGCTTGCACATTGTTGCGGCCCCAACCTTCTCGGCACAAGTCTCTGTTCTTTTTCTTTCCTTCCCCTTCATTTTACACTAACGTTGACACGTTGTCCCTGTTGATTAACAATGGTGCCCCAAGGTTACCACACTTTATCTCCTGCTTTATACTTGTACCTTACCATATATTCTCCTACCCAATTATTCTGTATTACATCTATATTTCTTATAATCAATATATTTAAGTAATTTCTACTATATTAGTAAGAGACACATGTTTGTTTCAAAAAAAAAAAAAAAAGAAAAAAAAAAGAAAAGAAAAAAAAAAGTAGGAGACAAATGTTGAATGTAATTCATTAATGATGAAAAGATGGGCAACGGTGTTTTCTGTACCTAGTGATACTGCATTAAATCAAAATGAGCTTGCATGGTGTTTTATGTACTTATATTGGTATTTATATACACTCTAAAACTAAACTCCTAATTGAGGAGTACTTCCTTTGTTTCTAAATAATTGACATTTTGCCTCTTGATGTCTAACTGTAACGTTATATACCTCTCAAATCAATAGAAATAATAAAAATTACGATGTTAGATTTGTACTGTTACAAGTTTACAGTAGCTTCATTTTATTATTTCTGTCAAATAAAATTGAAAGAAATCTACTGTCAATGTTCAACCTTGGAAATCATTTATATAGAAGTTGGGTGGGTGCTAAATAATTTCCCAACACTTATTCATCCATCACCTACCAAGTATGTGCTGGTCAAGTGCTCAAGTCTGATATCTACTAATTTAATCCTTAATTGGCTAGTAACTTTGAATTTGTGCTGCTCAGTGCTTTGACACATAAACATGCATGACACTCTCTATGCATAAAATTTGAGCTTTTCTTGATTTCTATGATGTCTATATTTCAATGGTTATATCGAATTACTGCTAGAATCTATTGAAATTAACTGTATTCTTGCTGGATTTTGTAGATGTGTTTCTTTTATCCCCAATAAATTAGATGAGCCCCTGGTTTGCATGTTTAGATTAGTTATGACTTAAGATGTGATACTTTAGTTTGTTACCAGTCCATCATATCATATCATCGGAATAGTGAAAGAGACATCAAGATAAGCAAGTTATTTTCTTGGGACAGTCTACATGTTTAGTAGCTATAGGCCTATAGTTGGCAAAAGTATCCTTCAGTTTGGGTCGTATTTAAACAATGAGTCAATAAATCTGGTTTCTATTTAACTCTGGACAGGTCATATACAGGTATTTGATGGTTAAAAATAAATGAATATTAATCTTATTCATTTTTGAATCAAGACTAGCCTATCTTGTTTTGGGTATAATTCAGGTTTGGGTCGATTTTGCTGTATGTATATAAAAAAGAAAAGAAAACGTTGTACAAACTTCATGATCGACATTAGGTGAATTGGTCCCTTCAATTACTATAGATTTCTAGTTTGGTCCCAACTCTCTCATTCAAGTGTACTGATTTTAACCTTTATTAGTAGTAGATTGTTACTTGTCAACTACATTAGTTCTTGGTTGATCCGGTATTGCACGTTGTCTTCAGTTATCTATCCTTTTAGTACACTGTAAACCTATCCAATGAAAAAAAAATTATTAGATTGTTTCATCTGTTACATGTTTCTTAATTTGCATGCTGTCACAGGCACTCAGCTAGAAGAACCAGTACAGGAACTTCCACCTCTGAAGAAGAAAGATATTCCTAGGATTTACACTCGATTTCCAGAGCTAAACGACGAAGTAACACATAAGTTGATGGAAACAACCAAGGCTGCAAGAGGACTTGTGTTTAACTCTTTTGAAGAACTCGAGGGTTCTTCATTGACATTGGTTCGTCAACACTTTCAAATACCAGTTTTTGCAATAGGGCCATTTCAGAAACAGGTTAAGGCTTCTTTTAGTAGCCTATTGGTGGAGGACCGGAGTTGCATTCCTTGGCTAAGTGCTCAACCACCAAAGTCTGTGCTATATGTTAGCTTTGGTAGCATAGCTGCTATTGATGAGACTCAATTTCATGAAATTGCATGGGGGCTGGCTCATAGCAAGCAGCCGTTTTTATGGGTCATTAGACCTGGATTGGTCCGGGGATCAAATGGGCTAGCTCCATTACCAAATGGGTTCTTGGAGATAGTCATGGGCCGGAGCAGGATAGTTGGATGGGCCCCACAAGAAGAAGTGTTGGCACATCCTGCTGTAGGCGGGTTTTGGACTCATTGTGGATGGAACTCGATTTTAGAAAGCATATGCCAAGGAGTGCCTATGATCTGCCTGCCTTTCTTCGGTGATCAGATGAATAATGCAAGGTATGTAACCGACGTTTGGAGGGTTGGATTGCGGTTTGAGAAGGGGTTAAAAAGAGAAGATATAGAGAAGGGAATCAGAAGCCTAATGGTGGAGAAAGAAGGCAAAGAAATGACACAGAGGGTGGTAGCTTTACAAGAGAAAGCAAGTCTTTGCATTGAGAAAGGTGGATCATCTTACCAATCCTTGGAGAGTTTAGTTGCTCATATTTTGTCATTTTGAATGAGATAATCATCATTCCTATGTTTCAAGAGCTTTAGTTACACTTTTTATTGGTCTATCAATTCAACATTCAGTCATTCATCATCTTCTGAGTAAGTATAGCAACTAGTCTTTCATTCTTTAACTCAAAACAAGTTATTGTAATTGTTTAATAGTGTGGCAACTACTAGAAAGTAGAAGACTGGAAATCATGCTCTCTTACTCTCAAGTCTCAATCAGTATTCCAAAATTACAAATTTACAAGATAATGGGCAGCATTTTTCCAAACAATGGAAGTACCAACTCATATTTCCTATTATCATAACAATCAATTGAAAGACAGTAATAATGGTAATTGATTTCAAACTCAAATATGTGCTTATTTGTAGTTTTCAATTAAAAAAACTCGTACCAATGTCCTGAAAAATAGGTAATGGAAGTGTCATCCTCTCTTTTTATTATCATACAATACATTACAATTTTAGATGTGATTTCAAACAATAACAAAAAATTATGAAGAAAAACATACTTTATTTGGAGATGATCAAGTATTAGTTATGAGTTTATAAATACAACAATTAATCATCACAACAACATTTCAATTATATGTAGTTTGTTGTATTATGAAGAAAAACATACTTTATAAATTATTATTGCTCAAAAATTTACATCGACATGCATAACAAGTCACTATGTGGCACTTTAAAAAAACAAAGGGAGTAATAATTTAGCATGACTCAAATATAAAAATTAATCCAATTCGACTCAACCTCTCCAAACATGATTTATTTTTACTTAAGTCACCCGAATTAACACCTCTACATACAAATAAATTTGGTTCGGATATGGGTCCATTCAGCCGAGGGTCATATACTCATATATGGGAGAGGAGATTTTCCGGGTGGATACACATACACATCGGGTCATGTCAAATTTTACGAGTTAAACTCGCTAGTAACAAAACTTGGACTTGCCTGAGATATTTCACGGCCCAAAGTCCAAACCCGTTGATTCGGTAAACACTGAAAAATGTGTCGAAATTTACAATTCTAAACGACGTCGCTTCTGCAATTTTCCAGCCTACTCTCACTTGCTCCCCAATTGCGCATGCTGCTCAAATCTACCGATTTCAGTCATTTTTCATTCTTTCTCTTTCATCTTCACCACTTTCAAATTTTCTGCAATTATATTAAATTTCACATTTATTGAAGTTTCAGCTGATTAATTACAGCTGATAATTAATCCAATCACAAAACCCTAAATTTTCACCGAAAAGTTAGCTTCAATTTTTTGATATAAAATTCAGAAATATAACTGACGAACAAGAAATTGCGAAGAAAACTTGATTAGATTCTCAAAGGAGCTTCGTTTTTTCCAGTAATTTTGTGGCGGTGGAATATGAATTCAAAGCTGATTCAATTAATTTGGATTCTTGTCTTTGTAGCTCCCTCCATCGTCAGATCAAATTCTTTTTCCTCCAATTCACTTCTCGGCATCTCCCCTGAAGGTAGATTGTTCATTCCATTTTACACAATTTTTGATTAATTTTGAATTTTGGTAATGTAGTTGTGATTATCGTTGTTTATCAGATGGAAAGTATTACAACACAGCGTCAGAATTCATAAAATGCAAAGATGGATCCAAGAAAATTAATCGGAGTCAGCTTAATGATGATTTCTGCGATTGTGCTGATGGTTCCGATGAACCCGGTATGTGTTGTTTAAAGCCTATCTAATGCACTTTCCTTTGACTTATGGTATGTATTATACTTTGAATTGAATTGAGTGATTAGGGATTTGCTCGTACAATTTGCCTCATTGAATTTCATTTTCGAAGTAGAAATCTAAAATGTTTAGAAAATGACTGGAAAAAGTTGTCACTTTTTGCGAAATAATGGTAATTGATCACAGACGGGTTTTCCATGATGCCCCATACTTGAAATGAGTGAGGTGAGGAAGGTGGGAACAGTTATTTTGGAGAAAATCATATTACTTCTTGTATATGAAGATTAGAACAATGTATGATTATTTCTGTGACCTAGGGAAGTAGGGATTGATCGAACTTTACAGACAATTAAAAGTGTAGGTGTACGTGTCATGTTTAAAGTTACAATTTTGATGTGTACATGTGCTGAACTTGCAGGGACTTCGGCGTGTCCAAATGGAAAATTCTATTGCCCGAATGCAGGGCATATCCCTTTTGTATTATTTTCTTCGAGAGTAAATGATGGCATTTGTGGTAAGAACTTGGTTAGTTGTATTTAGTATGATGTGTTATGTTCTGTTTTGCCTTTTGAGCATATGAAGAAATTTATTGCCTTAGTGTAGATTGCTGTGATGGAAGTGATGAGTATGATGGTAAGGTTAAGTGCCAAAATACATGTTGGGAAGCTGGGAAGGCAGCTAGGGACAAATTGACAAAGAAGATTGCAACATTTCAGGAGGGGGTTGCATTGCGAAGAAAAGAAATTGAGCAAGGGAAGCTAGCTTTTGCCAAAGATGAGGCTGAGTTGGCCAAGATCAAGAATGAGGAGAAAGTATTGAAGGGCCTAGTTCAACAACTCAAGGGTATGTACTATCTTACTTTAATAGTTATGATGATTAGGACCATACTCTTCTCATCTACTTTATTTTATTTTGGGTAGTCTTATATGCATGGAAGTACCATAAACTCAAGACATAAGTTTGAAGTGTCATTGAAATGTCTTACCAATGTATTGACAACTTGCATGAAGTCAAGTTGCTTTAGCCGGCTTTGTTTTTAAAATTTTAATGCCATAGGCAACTCCAACTCTATCGAAAGCTGAAGATGCTAGGGTTGAGCCCCAATGGCAACGATGACTTCCTGTGTATTCTTAGATATGGATCCGGTGAAATTTAGTATCTACAAGAATTCATAGTTTGACCTAGTCTGCATGCCAATCAGGCCTTTGGTACTTTTTTCAAGTATCTAGTACAAGAATTTATAGTTTGAATTTAGTGCCTTAAATTGTGTCTGTGTTTTATGTGTCTTATATGTTTTTAAATCTGAAAGAATTACTAAATACTGCTATTATTACTATGCCATTGAAAGTGGTTTGAAGTATTTGTAATAAGCTAATGGTTTTATTAATATTCTAAGTGAATTTTAAACTAAAATATTATTGGAAAAAAAATGTAATCCATGGTCAATTTTTCTCATCATTTATGGTAAGTGGTAACTATGACCTAGGTAAGGTGCATGTCTTCATGCCCCTGTTGGGTCGTACCACATTTTGGACCTTACCATGGTTGGTGCTGGCCTTGCCTATTGCCAACTGTACATACTGTGTAACACACCCAATAATATCCCTCAAATGGAAAATTTAACATAAACTGATGCTTAAACAAAGTAAATTCTTGCCTTCCCAGAAGCGTACACACAAATAAATAGGACACCATTCATCGCAAAGAGAATTGTCTTAAAGTCAGTTTTCTCCATCATATTCATACCATTTTCCTTGACAAATGGTGCTCAATTGACTTTGTTTACATCAGTTACACCATTAATGCAACATTGCTATCTGCTTAGATTTGCTTTCCTTTTTCTTTTTCTGCCGATTGAATGATTTCATGGTAAATTTTGGGATCCATTAGATTCCAAAAAATTTCCGAAGACTCTTGGGGGCTCTATGTCTGCAGTAATTGATGTTTTGCATCTTCTGTCTTGTAGAGCGTAAAGAACAGATTGAGAAAGCAGAGGAGAAGGTACGTTTAGAGAAGGAAAAAGAAGAAAAGCTCAAGGAGGTGGAAAATGAATCTGATCCGAAGAAAACAGAAGATGAGGAGGTGGTGGAAAGTGGGAAGGAAAATCATGGTGATAGTACAAATGATGATGTCATAGGCAATCTTGATGAATCTTTAGAGAAGGTTTGACCAAATGCCTAATCTTTCTCTATATATGAGTTTAAATTGATTATGCCTTTTTGGTTATTAGTTTTTGATGCCCCTTCTTTTGGTCGTTTATACTACTCCGTATTGCATATGTCTGGAATTTGGTACTCTAAAGCTTATTCTTTCTTTCTTTCTTTTTTTCTTTTTTCTTTTTTTTTTTTTTTTTTTTTCCCTGGATCTATTTGGCTGTATTGAGCTTCAGAATTGTAGTATCATCTTTTCTTCCTCTTTCATAGAAAGTCCATAGAGATAGATTATGTGAAGATATTATGACTTAGTGTATTCAATTTCTCCGCCATAATTTACAAAGTATATACATTGTAATCTCTTGTTCCTCACATCTCAGTTTCTGCATATTTGAGTTATATCTAATTATTTCTGACACAGGGTGTTGAAGAAGTGGATTCCAAGATTGACCCAGCTGATGGGGCTTCTAACAATGCAGCTGAGCTGGTAAACAAGCAATTGCGACCCCTCCCCATTTGAAAACGATGTGTCATTAGAAATCTCTACATATATTTTTATCATGCTGATACCTTGTATCTAATGTGTTAAGCCTGCAAAGGAGAACAATGAAGAGCACGCTGTTGCATCTGAATCTGATTCTGAACATGAAAAGGAGGTCCGTCCCTGAAACACATTTCCTCAATATAATGTCATTCTTACTGCTCACTTAGCAAAAAAATACGTGTGATTGAATATTGTGTGCATTTTTTACATCCTGTTTGCAAGGTTTTGGGTATATTATATGTCATGATGTTCTGGCAAGATGAGAAAGTGTTTTATGTTTATTGTCAGTTTGATTGGCCACGTGATAGCATCCTAATATTGCTTTTTTACTGTTATTTAAAAGTAATGTTTTCTTGACCCCAAGCTTTGGGTTTGCTTTATTTATTGTAGCACGACACAGCCGGATTGGAAAATACAGAAGGTTTGTCTAAGGAAGAACTGGGCCGTCTTGTTGCTTCTCGTTGGACAGGAGAAAAAGCTGAACACAAGCCTGGAGAATCTGATGTAGTGAAAGATAATGATCATGTGGACGAGATACCCAAAGATGTGAATGAGGAAGATTATGATGGCTACGCTTCAGAACTTGAAGAGAATGACCACAAATATGATGAAAATTATGCAAATGACCATAAGTATGATGAAAATGATGCTGATGAACACTTGGATGATGATTTTAATACAGGGGATCATGAGGATTCCAGTTCATACAGGTCAGATTCCGACGATGAATCAGTAGAGCCAGGTATGTAGTTTCTGTCTTCAGTTGGATTACTGTACAATTGTGTATTATTTAATAGGCCTTTGTTATTGTACTGGACTTATGGCTTTTCTATTTGTTGGTTGCTTGGAATCATTACATGGTGTTTTAGATCTAACTGCCTCAAGTAATCCATCTTGGTTGGAGAAAATACAAAAAACAGTGAAAAACATCCTTCAGGCTGTTAACTTGTTTCAGACTCCATTGAACATATCAGGTGCATTGGTCTGCTTTGTCTTTTTAAATGTAATTTCGATTGCTGCGACTGAGGCACAGAATTTTCTTTGCTGACTCCTATATGTAAATATACTGAATTTATTCTTTATATGACATCTTTAGATGCTGCTCAAGTTCGAAAGGAATATGATGAATCAAGTGCCAAATTATCGAAAATACAATCAAGGATTTCAAGTTTATCTGAAAAATTAAAACTGGACTTTGGTAAGTATAGTAATTAAATGCTACCCGTATATATTCTCTTTGGTTGGGAATTATTAGTGTCATCACCTTAAAGTTTATATCCTTCTAACTATGATTCTTTACAGGACCCGAAAAGGAATTTTATTCACTCTATGATCGCTGTTTCGAGACCAAGCAAAACAAGTAATTACATATTCTTTTCTCCCAGTTAAGTTAAAATTATAAAAAATTAAAAATAAATAAAAATAAAAATAAAAAAAATAAAATAAATTGATGATCTGAAAATACATATTGAGATGAATACAACAAAATCCCACTTGAATTATACGCCAAAGAAAGTTAAAGTAGAGTGTGTGAATAATGTAAAAGTCAAAATGTTGCAATATATAAGAATGGAGGAAGGTAACTAGTTTTGGATAAAAGTAAAATTGGAAATTCAGTATGCGGAATCATTGCTGAAACTTGTGCCTAAAACAATTGCTTTCTACTCCTAATTGACCATGTCTTCCACAGTTACATGTATTGCTGTATCATTACTTTCATGCTTGTTATTAATTACCCGTTGAGTCTGGCATCAAAAAGAAAGTGGGGCTGATTTTTGCATTCTTACCTGCCTTACTTGTAAATGTTAAGAGGCTCTCATAACCTTACCTATTCCACTGGAGCCTTGATCTCCTTATGTACCTGACTAATATTGCTGTATCTTTAATCATCCCTATTCCTCGATTAACTTGTCGAAACTTACCTTTCTTAAATGTCCTGGTCACTCAAGATTCAACTCCTTATCCTATGTATGTAGTTTATTAGTTTGACACTTTGACCTAATAAAAACTCAGATAAAGAACTTAATTTTGAGGACCAATCCATACTTTCACCACCTAATATAACACATTTCTCAACTATTAATAAAGTATGTTATACCTACTGTTAATTTGACTTTTTGGTTGTAATTTTAGGTATGTTTACAAGGTCTGCCCTTATAAAAAGGCTACCCAAGAGGAAGGACACATGACCACGCGTTTGGGGTAAGCACTTGTGGTTCTCTTGTATTTTCATTGATGCGCCATCGTTTATTGCTTTACTTAAATAAAGAGTTTACCATATTGTTTACTACTACTTTGATGGTGTAGCAAATTCTGAATTAATCAAGGCGGTAGCGCTTTGAGGCTCAGAGAAACATTAGGCCCAAATGGGTAGTGACAGGAGACTTTCTGCCTTTCTATTTAAGCTTTTTTCTTCACTTAAGATCTTTTGTGCTGTGCCTTTCTGCATGAAATTTTGCAACAGCATATCTTGAGTTTGCAGCACTAGGTAGAAAGACTGAAATTAAAAAAAATAAAAAATAAAAAAAATCGAATTTCCTACATCAATGAAACCTTTTGCATTCAAAACTATGATAATTACAACTTATATTTGTTACAGCAGTTGGCTCTTTTCAGATTGAATTGAGAAAAGGAAATTATGATATTGTACATCCACGCCTTGTATTTCATTTCCAACCTTGACTTATATTATGATTAGTACTTTATTGAAATTCAATTGAGTACTATATTTGGCTTGTAAGTGCTTTGTGTTAGATGTAGATACTATGTCAGAGATTTTGACTTCTTTTATAGTTGCTCCTGCAATTTTTTTTTACCTGTGAAGCAATTGGTTTCTAACGTTGGAACATTCTGGCTAATCTAAAATTCTTATTTTCAATAATTCAGACAGTGGGAAAGATTTGAGGACTCGTACAAAACCATGCTCTTTTCAAATGGTGATAAATGCTGGAATGGACCTGATAGAAGTTTAAAGGTATATCTTTTAAAATTATACTAATCTAAATTTTAGTTTGAAAGTACTTCCTTAAAAATACAATCTTTATTTTTCCTCAGGTCAAGCTCAGGTGTGGCTTGAAGAATGACCTTGCTGATGTAGATGAACCAAGTCGTTGCGAGTATGTTCCTTGTCTCCTCTAACCCCCCCCCCCCCCCCCCCCCTTTCCCAAATCTCACAAACTGTCAAAATTTTGGTTGGAGTTGAGGTAAATTTCAGTGAGATGGAAAGAGTTTACTGCCTGTTTAACTCAATCTTGTTACAGGTATGTTGCTTTGTTATCAACACCAGGTGTCTGTGTTGAAGAAAAGCTCAAGGTATTTCACTTTCCCTATGTTTATAGACTTATTTCCTTTCTCACTCCGGTGATAACATATCTGATGCAAGTGGAGTTCACTTGAATTTGGTAGGAGTTGCAAGAAAAGTTGGATGCCTTGAACAGACAGCAACCGCCCAATCATGATGAGCTATAGAGTCTGTGAGGTGAAAGATTGGATATTATACTCTGAAGATGATTCGCACCCTCTTGCTGGAAGCTGAAGTAGTACCTGGTACTGGTGCGTGATGTTTCTGAGCAGATTTTGCTGCTAATAGTTCTAAACAGATTAAAGCTCCCAGGTGATTAACGACAACAGGTCAGAGACAGCCAAATTTTATCCTGTTATTGATGACACTGTTCATTTGAACCATTGAGCCCATATGAAAGAATCTCACGGCGTAATTAATTGTAATAGTCTAATAGAGTTAAGATTTTGATATTTAGGATCAGCCAGTTACATCATCAGGAATCTTTAACAATCTTATGGTGATTGGCATAATTTATCTGCTGTCAAGAGGGTTGTGGATTGGATTTATATTTTATACTAATTCAATGTTTTGGTCAGTTAGCAAATAGACGTGCTGGTTAACATAGGTCATAAGGTAATTGGGAATCATGAATTTCTTTTCACCTGTAGTATGATTTATGAGAACTTTCATCTTATACATTCACAGGGCATTAAGGCAAGCCCTAACCTAAGCAGTGCTATAACTTAATGGCAAGGCTTATACTCAATAGTCAATATATTGTAGGCTGTAGCTATTTTAAAACTGTCCATAATTCTATTCAGGCCTGTGATCACAGCTGGGCTACTTGAGTCAGGCCTGTGATATAAACTGGCCAAACTAAGTTTCTAGCTGCAAAAATAATTTGCATAAGCCCCTGAACTTTTTACTTTGGTGCTTTTAAAAAAAACAAAAAAAAAAAAAAAAAAAAAAAATTAAAAATTAAAAATTATTATATTTAGGTGGCCCTCCTTTCGAGGGGAATATATGAATCACAATGAAGAATCAAGAGAGAGATTTCAGCCTATATATTACATTACTCCCATAAATGACTATTTATAATTTTGAGATATTATTTGTGAGATATAAAAATTCTAAAAATGCTATAACAAATTAATGGAGGTAATATATGTTGCTAACTATGACTATGAATAAGATAATTTTGAAAAATGTAACTATAGATTTTGAAATCAGCCGGCCCCAACAAACCTTGATGTTCATGGGATACTTTGGTTAAGAATAATTAGAATGATAATGTCTCATTCGGTCTAACATTATTGCTAAAAGGGCACGCCTTGCTAGGACTTTGTGGATTGCTGCTCATCATGAGACAATATTTGACTTTTTAGTTTTGTTGGGTAATCTACATGCATCCTGTTGACTTTCTATACCTCGTTCACTTATAATCTTATATTATAGACAAACTTATTATGAGGGATCCTTCGAAATGACAAATCATCATAAAACAAATAGGTGCAAAAATTGATTAAGCAAAAATAAACAAATAGGAACACATATTTAACTTGGTTCGGTAACTATGTATTTACATCTTCCATGATTGACAAAATGAAGAAATGTAATAAACCTGAGAAATCTAAATGCTGTGGGCAATTTTGGATTAAGAGCCATATACAACTATAAAAAAAAAAAAAAACAAAATAGTCCCGAAAAATAAGATTGGACTAAAAAACATAGCCTAACTTAGAGTTTACAGGTTGCAAATTAATAGTCGTATCCGTGCATCCGGATGTATAATGCTAATGGTGTATTGAATTAAATAATAATCTATGTGATAGAGCATAAAACAAATTCTTCTATAACAAAATATCTATCATATATTCTATCACTATGTTTTGTTTTTATGTTCATTGGATGCACAGGTGCACGAACCAATAATTGCCTCGGGGTCACTCGAATTAAAGACTTGACAATCATCAACATATTCTTAATGTTTAGAATTCATCATTGTATTACATATAGAGTGATAATTACTAATTAAGAGGGATTATCCTTTGTATATAAAAACAAAATTGTAAACTATGAATTTAAATCAGACTTCTCCAACAAGGGCAACAACCAAGTGAGTGTTAAGCAGTAACTAACAAAAAAATTATGCATGGACGTATTATTGATAACTGAAATTTCACATGGTAGCCTTCATATCGTGTTAATTAAGTTACATCATAGCACATGGGTTCTGTATGAAAGACTAACAATTACTCCTAAATTCTCTCAATTAAGAAACTGTTTTTGGCGTTGATTAGGCTTATCAAAATGTTGTTGTCATAATTATATTGTGATAGTGAAACTAAGCACTAGCAGTAAAGAGTATATGACAATTAGCAAAATAATTATGGAGATCAATATGATCGGTTTTCCAATTGTCCCCGATTTTTTTGATGGATTTAAATTAGAAATCAAAGCGTTAAAAAGATGTAGTAATAGTACAATAAATCATTAAAAAAAAATCATTGGTAAATTAAAAAGAGAGTTGCACGATATATACATGTATAATAAAGGAGTGTATAATACGCTTAGTCGCTCAATAAGAATTGTGAATTGTTGCACTATTCAAAAATGTGATTGGATTTAAAATCAAAAAGAAAAAAAAAAAAAGTTAGGATTTTGATAAGACTAAGAGCAAGTTTACTTGGGGTGACATCATCATTTTAGGTCTTAAGACTTATGCTTAAGACTTTTTCCATTTTTCTTCAAAAATCTCAAGCAAGCCTCAAATTGAGTCTTCAAATTTCAAGACTCAACTTAAGACTTGAGATTGGGACCCACCACTCTCACCTCACTTTTATTTTTATTATCCCTTTTTTTCTTACACTTTTCTACATATAATATGTCAAATATTCAAGTTTTAGGGCTAAAGTGATAAATTTTTGTAAGTCTTAGTGAGTCTTAACAAGAATTTGATGATATCATTTGTGATGGGGACCACAAAAAATGATGTCACAATCAAGTCTTAAGACTTGGGGCTAAACTTGCTCTAAGGGATTATTTGATGAAGCAATAAAAAGTACTTGGGAAAAAGCTAGCTACTATACCATATATTGATCAAAGTTGTGTTGTAAAGTAATCAATCCAATTGGATATATCATTAAATGGTTGCATAATTTGACTCCTATACTAAAAAAATTCTACTTAAGAAACACGCTTAATCCAATATTGATTGCTTTAATATATAATTTATGTTTTGATGTAATTCATGTGGATGAAGATTTTTCTAATAAGTACTTTGCTTGGAATGCAAAATTTGGGCCTATGATGTCAATCATGTATCTTTTGCGCTGGACCTTATCTTATATTCTTATACTATATGATTAATTCATTAATTGAGTATCTATTTGTAGACAATCATTCTCCCTTCACAATTATCAAAAGGACCAATTGAGATATATATAGATGAAAAACACACGTATTATTTCATTTGATATCATATCTCTTGTAAATACTTGCTTTTTTTCAGCCTCAAGTAAAGATGTGATTTATTTACACGATGATGATTGTTGTTGACAATTTTTAGCTTGTTTCGGTTTATGTGTTACCCTTTACTTGTTAGGGAAACTAGTTAACTAGTAGGTCTATTTTTAAAAATTATTTTAAGCCGTTATCCTTTAATTATATGTTTATTTCTATCTATTATGTGAGTAATAAATGAAAGAAATAGATATGTAATTAAAGAATGGAGGGAGTAGTAATTGGAGGGAGTAATAATTATTACTGCTTAAAATGATTTTTAAAAAAATAAACCTACTATTTGAATCTCATAATACAAGAAATTAGCTTAAATGAATTCGGATTAAGGGTCTGTTTATGTTTACTTAGGGCTTGCCCTCTTACATTGAAATTCAGTTCAGTTCAGCTCCTAATTTCTTTCTCTTATAAAATATTCATTTCAGTTTAGTTCAGTTTAGTTCAGTTCAATTCAACTCCTAATTTCTTTCTCTTATAAAATATTCAGTTCAGTTCAGCTCACTTCAATTCAGTTCAGTTTAGCTTCTAATTTCTTTCTCTTATAAAATATTCATTTCAGTTCAGTTCAACTCAGTTCAGTTCAGTTCAGTTCAGTTCAATTCAGTTAATGAGAATAGACCCTTAATTGAGCTGAACTGATTAGAGCTGAACTGAATTGAACTCAATATTTTATGAGATGGAAGCTGAACTGAACTAAACTGATTGGAGCTGAACTAAATTAATTAAAGCTGAATTGAACTGAAATTAAGCTGAATTGAACAGACCTTAAATCAAATTAGACTGTATTAAAATCAATTTAAAACACCTTATATTTTAGAGGAAGAAAACTTATACAAAGTATTTCATAGGAAGAGAAGTAGAGAACAAGTGAATAACGTAGATTTCGTATTTTCTTCTAGCACAAAATATTAGTTGAGAATTTTCAAAAACTTCAAACCGAAAATAGTTTAAGGGGGCCGTACTTTATATTTTCCGTACCAGAGACGATTAAATCTAATGGACTAAAACAAAAATTGGTATTACTGAGTACTGTACATAACTTGTAAAAGCATTCTAGTACTGTAGAATGTAGGGTTTGTAGACCCATCGAAAGCAAGTTGGGTGCATGAATTACACGTAATTGACGGCTAAGTATGAGCATTATATTAGAATTTCTAACAAAATTATTAAGTAATTCTTGTAACTAACTTCACAAGAAAAGAATCTTAAAGCATCATTATTCATGTAACTTTCCCATGTGCTTTTTTCTAATTAACTTATTAGAGAAAGCTTTGAGGTATGTAGTAACAATTTCATATTATTGGTAGAACCAATTATGTATCAAAGTGGTAATGCGTAGAATTGATCTATATACTCCAATTACAGGTGATTTTTGTGACAAGTTTGACCCTTGACTTAAAAGGGAAAAGATACTCTCTCCGTCCCTTAATTAAAAGCTTCTTTCTCTTTATAAATTCTAAAAAGAGGTTTTGTATTAAGAGATGTAGGGAGTAGTGTTTAATCTTTAAAGATTAAGGTAGTTATCTGTTATATTTTTTCTTAATTAAAGTTTTCATCAGTTAAAGTTTTTGGAGGTGAAAAAAAAAAGATTTTGGAGGTAGAAGCAAAAAATTAAAAGTTTTAGAGGTAAAAGCTAGAAAAAAAGAAGAAAAAAAAAACATAATTTGCCAAATATCAAGTTTTAAACTTATTTTTCTTACAAGTGAAAATAAAGCTTTAATTATCTTAATATTTTTACACCATAACATTAGCATCTAATTATGTGATTGTCTCTAAGGTGCTTATTATAATACCTTTTTTCTTTATAGGTAAGTAGATTTACCTAGAGTAGACCATAACAATTATAGTATAATGACCCAAAGTAAAATTACCATGGTAGTATACTAGAAAAAGAGAAAGGTAATAGAATCTCATATTCTCATGCATCCTACATACTTTTATTTGACAAGCTTCGACCATCAAAAATAAACATCATGTAATGTTCTGGTTGCACTTTTATTTGGCAGGATTCAAACCTCAAACCATCATATGACGTAAGAACATTACTAGATGAGACAAGTTTTGTTTAGTGTTGTGTTTGTAACAAGAATACTTGTTTTTTCAATAATCGAGGATGGAGTAGTAATACAAGTTCATTGGTTGTGGCTATTACTTAATTATGTGTTTCCTTCAAAATTAGCTAATGTAAATTCACAACTATACACAACGTAC